CATCCTAGATGTCCACTATATCCCGTGTTTCCCTTCAGATGTTGACGTCTTCATGATCCAGTCGATCAGCAGGAGAAAGAGAAAAGGTGAGAGTAAGCAACCTTGCCTGACACCGGCGTTTACTTCAAACAAATCTATGAGCTGTCCTCCATGCATGGCGTTGCAGTCTGATCCACCATAGGAATTCTGCATGATATTGACGATTTTCTGAGGCACGCCATAGTGTCGAAGAAGCTTCCGTAGTGTTGTTCTGTCCATGCTATCAAATGCCTTCTCGTAGTCAATGAAGTTGATGTAGAGTGATGAATTCTATCCAATTGATTGTTCCACAATGATCCGTAGAGTTGCGATTTATTCTGTACACGATCTATCCTTATGGAATCCTGCCTGTTGGTCTCGAAGTTGGGCGTCTACGAAGTCCTTCATCCTGTTTAACAATATCCTGTTGAAGACGTTTCCCGGTATTGAGAGAAGAGTGATGCCCCTGTAGTTATCACAGTTGCTGAGATCGCCTTCGGTATTTTGATCAGAAGTTCTTCTTTCCAGTCTGTTGGTACTTGTTCTTCATCCCAAATTTTGCTGAATAGAATGTGGAGTATCTTTGCAGTTACCGCTACTTCTGCTTTTAGTGCCTCTGCTGGAATGTTGTCTGGTCCTGCTGCTTCACCGCTATTGATTTACCTGATGGCCATGCTTATCTCTTCAATTGTTGGTGGGCCAACATCGATTGTGAGGTCCGTGGGTGCTGCTTCGATGTTGGGTGGGTTCAGTGGGGCTGGTCGATTCAAGAGTTCATTGAAGTGTTCTACCCACCTGTTTCATTGCTCTTCAATGTTGGTGATTACCTCACCTTCCTTACTTCTCACTGGTCGTTCTGATTTGCGGCGATTTCCAGAGAGTTTTTTTGTTATGTCATACAGTTGTCTCATGTTTCCTTCTCTCGCAGCCTTTTCCGCCGTCGTTGCTAAATCTTCCACATATTTACGTTTGTCGGTCCTGATGCTCCTCTTCACTTGTTTGTCTACTTCTGTGTATTCAGCTTGTGCTTTGGCTTTTTCTGCTCTTGGTCGGCTGGTATTGATTGCTGCCTTCTTGTTCCTCCTTTCTTGAATCTTATCCAGTGTATCAACAGTGATCCATTCCTTGTGATGGTGCTTCTTGTGGCCCAGGACCTCATGACATGTTGAAGTGTTTGCCCCCTTTATACCTTTCCAACTGCTCTCTATAGTAGTTCCCTCTCCATTGAGTAGATCATGAAAGGCCTGAAACTTATTGCTGAGGACTATCTTAAATTTGTTGAGTTTGTCAGTATCCTGAAGAAAGGCCGTATTGAACTTCTGTGATGTTGTCCGCCACGTTGTGCAGTGCTTCTTGAGTTTCAATTTCATCTTGGCGATCAGCAATTGATGGTCTGATGCTATATCAGCTCCTCTCTTGGTTCTCACGTCTTCCATCGCCCTCCTGAACTTTTTGTTGATGCAGATGTGGTCGATTTGGTTTTGTGTAGTGTGATCCGGTGAAGTCCATGTGGTTTTGTGTATGCGTTTATGTGGTAATATGGTGCTGCCTATGACCAGTTTATTGAAGGCACATAGGTTTGCAAAGCTCTCACCATTTCTGTTTCTTTCTCCCAGTCCGTGTCGTCCCATGATGTCTTCATATCCAGTGTTGTCCGTTCCAACCTTGGCATTGAAATCTCCCATCAGAATGGTCAGGTCCTTTGTTGGGCACTTCTCGATGATTGACTGCAGCTTATTGTAGAATTGATCCTTAACGTCTTCATTGTGGTCGTTGGTAGGCGCATAGCATTGGATGATGTTCATTGTAATACCCTCTTTCTTTGTTTTGAAGGAGGCTTTGACGGTCCTCATCTTATAAGTGCATGTTGTGCTTGTTTGGATAGCATCAATGCAACTCCCTGTGTATGTGGAGCATTTTCTTCTTCATGGCCGGAGTATAACAGAAGTTCTCCTGAAGTTAGTCGTTGTTGTCCAACTTGCGTCCAATGTGTTTCACTGATCCCAAGTACCTCTAGGTTGTATCTTCTCATTTCTGCAGCAATTTGGAAGGCACTCCAGGTGTCCCACATTGTACGAACATTCCATGTACCTAAATAAATGGTTGCTCTGGTTGTCAGAAGGGGCTTCAGCCTCGTGACTTCCGAGGGAACTCGGCTTTCACTATGAGGCTTCATAACTCTTCTAAATGAAAACCATCTGACTCCCAGGACAGATTTTAAATGGTTCGGATATTTTTTTCTGGTTTTTTATCGAGTTAGTTGTTTACGGGATGGGGTCGCTAACCCCATGCCCAACCCTCCCCCCTTTCCGGTCTTGAGACCTGGAGTAGCCCCCGGAGAGGCTATAGGCAGAGTTAAAGTGAGGTTAGTGACCAACATGCATTGATAGTGAGGTCAATAACTTCAATCCACCCGTTTTTTGGGACAGAACATGTGTTTGCTCCAGGCTCTTTACTATTAAAGAGTGGAAAGCTAGTCAGTGATACTGGGGTTGTCCTCCTTTGCTCTCTGCTCAGACTCATGTTTCCAGTCTTATGTTGGCTCTACTGTAACGTGCGAAGCGTTATATTTTTAAGGTATGTTAATCACCAAGTGATAAGATCACTGATTAAAACATCGACCTACTGATCAGACCAATGACGCATAAGCCAGTACGAACAGCCTAGAGTCAATTCTGAGTTCTTATATAGAACTATGGTCTAGATTAGTTACTAGTAATGCTCTAATAATTGGCCCAATGCCAAAATTGCAGATTTATCATAATGTAGTTGCTTAATCTATATTATCTTACGTGGGAGTCACATTATTGTCTACACTGACTCATCGTATGGTAACAATTAATAACATGATGCTTGGAGTTTCGCAAGAACACATTTAGGCCAAGAATAGAATAATATATATTTAATGCGAGTAAAGACAAGTTATACAGAATGATCACGTCCGTAAGGCTGAGCCATGCCATCTGATTGAATGAATATTCCCGCGTTCACTACTGTTGGTTTTCTCTTCGTGTTAAGGGTGGAATATTTATTTTTCCGGTTATCTCATGTTCAGTTTTGAGGATTGTGTGGTTATGATTGATACCACTACACGTACTGGTCCTTGGAAATAGTAGCTTCTCTCCTAAAACTGCCGGTTCAGTCCAGAAGACCAATATTAGCTCCCGCCATATGAATCATGTATTTCAGACATACGTGGTTTATATACAAGCAAATCATACAGCATCATACCATAAAATGGAAAATAACAATTACGCAAGATCAAGTCAAAAAGTGGCTGTGATTGTGAGAGGCTGTAACTAATAAACTGAGAATAACTTAAGAATAACAAATCGTATAATAATAGTCAATAATTAAAAAGGCCTATGATAAAAGGAGTATAAATACTCATGATCCGTAGTAAGTAACAGGCGTAAGTAAAAGCAGAGTATGATCTAGTTACTTAACAATTATTCAATAGGAATATATGCATTAATAGTCCACCAATAATTTCTAGTGGCTACCGTTCATTTATTCTTTGCTAGGATTTAACACTAAGATAAGCTTTAGCATTACGTAGACGCTTTAACTACAATTCATGGCAGGTGATATGAGTTTTATCCATTAGTTACCATACTTAGCAGCACTACAATTTATAATACGCGAATGTCAAGTTCGGCCTAGGCGTGAGCTCATTCAGGTCACAGCCTATACGCGTTGTCGTTTTGAAACAGATCACAACAACTGTGAACTCAGATTTATTCGTAAACCTGTTGATTAACTTTTGATATATCTGCATGAATGTTCCGCCATTTCTTTCCGATTTTATTTATTTACAAACGTTGTTTTGGCAGCATCTTATCTGAAAACCCATATTATTTATTGACCATGCCTATAAAACAGGCGTGCACCTTCTACTTCCGAAATGCATTATCATCTTATTTTGTTTTAAGTGTGATAGAACAAATCTTTCCTGATTTTTCATGGTTAGTCATCACGTTTTTTCGCTGGTTCCAGTACCAAACCTTGCCACTTGAGGTAAGATATTGTCTTTGTCTACTGGCTTTGTTTCTCATATTGTCTTAGTTCGTGAAAGCCACCAACGTCCCAAACATACTACTTAGGAGCCTCTGTTCTCTTCAAGCTTTCTTAGGTGTGTGATTCAACTTTATGAGGAGCATTATTCAGGTTGTTTGTGAGATGCAATAGTGATAGGATAATTTATATAATCCTTGTAGTTATAGTTAAGTAACCCAAACGAGCATACTGTCAAGATATTGTACTGTATCTTAGAAGTATCTGCACCTTCAAATGATGCACAAACAGTAGAGGGCAGTTCATCCCGCCAATCGGATTACAGGATATGATAGTCATAAAAATAACGGAACATTTCTGATTAAAATAATTCTTTTTCTAACATTTCAGAACGGCACTATAACTTTTCACACACTGATTAAAAAATGATCAGCTTGCAGAGAGCTGCCAACAATCGGAACGGCTCGAGTAAAACATTTCTCTCGGATGTATTCAAAAGGAAGTGGGGCTAATGAAGAGATTCGGTGCAAAACTAATAATATCTGCTGTCAGCCAATCATTAGTCTTTATAATTATCCAACTATAAATTTGAAAATATGTGTTGCATTGTATCTTGCCTTCAGATATTATTTTAGTATACTCTCACGATAGCATCTGACACTATTCAGGGGGTCATATTTGTTCTGATAACTATATATGATTTTAATACGACATTGTGTTGTGAAAAGAATTAAACAGGTGGACAGATTCGGGCAGGTTACTAGGGAATAGTAAAGCCTGGTAACTGGTGTAAAAAACTCTTAAAATAAATGTTTTTTTTGTGCTAGTTGCAGAATGACATTATTAACTACATCTTAAGCACACTTTAGTTGCTGTAATGACGTAGGTAAAGAGTAGACATTCAGAATCGTCTTTTTTATTAAGATAGACCACCAGTTTACACGCTGGAAGGCCCTTACATGTAGATGTCTATGGGTAGATATTTCTGATACCAACATAGCAAGCCGTCCACAGATTAAAGTAGTGACTGTTAGGTCGTCCGAGTTTTTCAACAGTTCTAAATTATCCGTATTTTACAGGATCCCATGCACAACACATGAAAACGAGCAAGTTTATTCGGGACATTTTATTCATCATAACATCTCAAAGCAAGCTCTCTAGTCGTATGTCCTACTTACATCTAGTTGGCACATAGATGTAGTGAGCAGAAATAGCACCATTTTATCATATTGTACCATACTTACGATTTGGAACTCGTCATATCAATGGTCAGATTCTTAACACTTAATTGGTACTGATATGATTGATGTAGTTTAGGAAATGAAAGTTTCCTGATTTTCTCAGAATAGTATAGTTAGTAATGTGACAACTTTGATAATACACATTGAAATATAAAGGATATGCTACCCATCTAAACTGAGGAACTCACTGAGTGTTCTCCATGAAAATTCGGGTCTCGTGGTGCAGGAAGAGTGATAATTATTCCAGCGAGGGTTTGTTTACTGTTTAGATGTAATGGAGTCCCAAAGAAAAGACAGCAACATCAGTGAAAGGCGCCACTGATATCATTCACTACATCAGAAGGTTTTGGAGCACGACTTACGGGATTCCTATCCACTTATTGTGTTTTCTCAGATCTATGAAGCAATTAAATATGCACATATTACATATATACTTTTCTACGAATGATGTTGAAAGTGAAGCGGTCAATTTGGTTCTGTTTGTCTGTACTCGGCGTTCCTGCTCTACTCGATCTAGTGTCCGTTGGCATCCATGAGTACTTTTTCAGGTGAAAGGTTAGTCATTGTCTCTTAAAGATAAAAACACAGAAGTCAAGACGACCAAAGTTCTACGAGGCATCGTTCACCTATCAAAAGGAGATCAAGAAGTCGTTCTCCTCAACAAAGTCGAGTGAGATCGAAACGCATAGTCATTGCAAACATCCCATATGATTTAAATTGGCAAAAGCTGAAGGAGTTGTTTAGAGAACAAAGTAAGCTGGGATATTTTGATGTTACAAAGTAGTCGGGTTTACTGGCTTTCTACAGTTGTTTAAAAAAAATGGAAAACCAAACGGTATGGGGTAAGGAGTCATATCTTGTCTTATTAACTTTTATTACTGTAAAGTTTGATGGAGTTCAAGACACTCGAAGGAGCACAAAAAGCTATTGAGATGATGCATCGGTTTGAAGTTGGAGACAGAAAATTGGTTGTTCGACAAGAGACTGCTCGTGATGCTGCTCGCTTTGCATCAATGGAAGTTGACGGAGGGCTTCTAAGTGATTCTGGAAATCCCAACGAGTCTGTAAATATGGCAGCAGCAGGACCTGTTTTCACTCCTCAAATCTTAGGTCAAGTCGGTATGGACGGGCCAATCACTGATTCTGTGTACGTCAGTAATGTAGGTTATGTCTCAAATTTATGTCATTACTTTTAGCTTGACTATAGTGTAACGTGGCAGAAGCTTAAAGATGTCTTCAAATCGGCTGGGAAAATTCTCAGCTCGGTTATAAAAACAGACTCAGAAGGGAATTCTCGTGGTGTTGGCATATTAAAATTTTCGAATGCGTATGAAGCAGTCCAAGCCGTCAATATGTTTAACAACCAGGTATGTGTTTGTGTTTAGTGAGTTAGTTTTTAAAATTAAATAAGTATCCATAACCTTGTATCGGAGAAAATGTGACTTTTCAACTTTTCAAGTTGATTCGAATAATTGGACGTGGTCTATAGAAATATCATATATCTCAACACCAGCATATGGATAAAAGATTTTTCGTCTCTTCTGGTTGACTTACAAGAATGGAAAATCTCGAAGGTTTCTTACCTGAACTGAAGCCAATGTGCAATTTCAGACCACGTCTTCCAGATTGGGTCAAAGTAACGTCATGTTTAGTATTGGTGAATCATTGATATTTGGCTGCAATATCCTTGTCGATTAACGTGAGGTCTTGGTTGATACAGTGCACCAACCCATAGATGATGCTTCGCATACGTTGGCCTTCCATTAACATGCTTTAAAGTGACTATACCGCTTTCTGGGTTTTTCGATAACATTGTCTATCATCAGATATTTCGTTATTGCATTGTTGATAAAATGCTTCTGGAAGTTTGGCTGTACAGTTTTTTCTTTTCGCTCGTAATTCCTGACACTTATATACTATCTTCACATTTGTTGCTTCGTGGTGTATGAAGAGATTAAATTCATACTACTTTCTGCGCTAGATATTAAAAGACAGACCAATGCGTGTAAAGATTGATCGCCAGGGTACTCCTGCTTCAATGAACATAGTTTATCCCCCACAACAACGAACTGGCTCATCTGGAATTCTGGGTTCCACTGGTTCAATGATCCCCTCCAATCCTATCCTGACTGACCAACAACAATCTTCAAATATTATTGCTGCTCTTGTGACTTTACTTGGTTTGAAAACAAATGCCGATACAAATCCTCAGAGTGGCATAGTTGAAGTTCTTCGTAATTTGGCGTCAAATGCAAATCTTTCTGGGGGTCTGAATACTTTGGCAACTACTGGATCATCTAATAACTCTTCCAACTTTACTGGTCAGTCATTGTCATCAATCCCAGATGCTTCACCAAGTATGTTTCTTGTAAACTACATTTATGTTCTGTGCTATTTCTAAGACTTACAAACATTGTGTGTTAGTTTTACATTTTATTATTTAGAATTATATGCAAATTTAAGGTCTCACTTATTTTCCATCAGGTATACTGCCCTCAACCTATATTTAGTCTGTCAAAATGCGAAATTTAAAGAAAAATCGTTTTCAATTGAGATCATGAACCTGTCAGTGTTAGACCACCATCGAAAGCCTGGAAGCACTAGATGGTCGTTTCATCCTAATATGGAACTCCTCGGCAGATCCGTACACGGCACTCGAACTCAGGACCTTTGTTCTCGCGCGGATGCTTAACCTCATTTCATTTTTCAGTTATATCATTGTTCTCAACCCACAAAATTTGAACAATTGAAGGATGCATGCACATCGATCAGGATCGGTACCAGTTGTCATCAGGGTAAGAAACAGCAGTGAATTTGCCCACTGTCTAATGACAATTCTCAACTTCTCAAAATCTTGTATATCCGGAAATGACTAACAGATTCAAACTTATCTATATTTACTTTCTAAGGTTATGATTGCTTTGTAGTGCAATATTATCGTCAAGTTGTATGTGTGGTAGATCAAGTATTTATTTCTATGTTCCACTTTTAAACCTTATGAAACTTAAATTGTTAGTTCCTAATAGTGTTGTCGTTGTTCAAATCTTCACTTATCTAATTTTTCATGTTTGTTTAAGGTTCAGGAATCAATCGGTCCTACTCAGGTCAACTCCCTCAAGATGGATTACAACAATTAATTTCAGCAGCTGTCGCTGGTGGAATGTCCCAGACACAAATAACCTCTGTATTATCGACTCTAGGTTTATTCCAGGTATGTATATATATCTACGAATTCTCTCAAAAATAGTGGTTTGTCCAATAAATACGCAAACTATTCCACGAAGTTTTTGAATTAGAAGACTTTAATTGCTATGATTCAGAATTGTTCGCAGCAGCAGAGGTGCATTCTTTCCTTGTCTTTTAGAATCTGAGTCTTGGTATCTCCTCAAACCTTTTTAATTTTCCTATACCTTCATTCACTTATTAATCACCTCACCTTATCCCACGGATTCCCGTCTCCGGCGGTAAGGTCCCAACAAGTACACAATTGACAAAAATTACTGACAAAAAGGTCATGTGTGACAGGCCTCAAGCAGTTGTCCCTTTGGGACTAAGGTCATGCTCTCAAGTCACTAAGACCACCTCGAACCCAATTTCCTTTCCAGGTGCATGCAGAAAAACCCCATCTTTCTTTGTGGCAAGGCTGGTTGTCCGAAGGAATCCCCTTGCTGCCACCACACCTCTAATCAGCATCACGACTTCACCCTCGGACCTTGGACATGCTGCTTTTAGTCTTAACGCTCTTCAGCCGACCTACCTGGCATGGTAGGACCTTGAGAAACAATTGTTCCAGGCAGTATAGCCCGGTCGATTCATCACGATAGCCAAGCCCAAACACCACGTCAGGGTAGTAGCAACGGTTGGGTTACTAATCAGTGAAGTGTCTTAATTTTACTATGAGCATATTGTCTATCCAATAAACATATGATAATCTACCTACACGTTAGTGTTGGTTGTTGTTTATGGTCTTTAATTCGAACACTAAGCCAGATTATCCTCTACATCCACCGGACGGCCCCCTAGGGTATCGTCTCACGGATGTTACAGTTAATAGGGGACATTTTGAAGGCGATTGATGAAGCCTAAATTTTGTATACGCTTTTATAAGTAACTCATTTATTGGACATTCCACTTATTTTCATTAGATGTTTATTTTTTTTAGCTCTTATGGGAGTTATTGATATAGTTGTGAGCAGATTCTTACTTTTACACACAGTTACACCTGTAGGTAGTACTACTCATTTCTGTTTTCGGGGCTAATTATTTTTTTAAAAATGTATTTATGCATTCGTTGTTTAAAGCTTCTGGCGCTCTTTTGTTGAATTTAGTCTGCGTGTGTATTTTTTGTTCGAGTGTTGTTTTGTGCCTATCAAGATTTTAATGATTACTAACTAGAGGACTAATTTATCCGTTTTCTCAATGATTGATATCAAGTGATTCTGTCCAATTTGTTGAATTCTATCATTGAAATCAAGGAGATGATAGACATTTTTTGATAGTCTTACAGATTTCTGGGTTCAGACAAAAGGAAAACTATTCCATAAATTTTGAAGTAAACAAATAATTCATTATCTTGATTTCTTAATGATTGACTACTATTCTACAGTGATTAGATCAGTTTTTTTTTCAAGACTGGAGTTGGCTACGCGAACAGAATTATTCATTTTGTGTTCTTAAAACTTCTCGACTTTAGTAGGTTTGGAAAAAGGGAGGATTCACATGTGCGTATGTATGTAGTTGATGTCATTCTTCTCTTAGAATAGTCATCTTATCCTTAAAACATTCAACAAGTTTATCCAGTAAGTTTCGGTTTTCAAATCAAAGATTTATATTGTTTAGTTTGTCTATTTTCTAACACTTATTATCAGTATGTATTTCGAGTAGTTGCATGTATTTAAAGTGGTTGGATTAGAGACAAGAAAAGTGTTTGTTAATTATCCTGGGGAATACTGTATGTGGATTATGTTGTCAGGACAAATAAATGATTTTTAAAATATACAATCAACTTATACAGTATCTGGTGTCGTTAGTTCGTTCAGTTGTGTCACTCTTCTCTTATCTTCACATATTATATTATACATACATATGTGTGTGTGTGTAGAATTCTCATTCGGATCATCAGTCTGGTCAGTTGAATGCTTCAAATATTATTGGTCGAGATGGTGGTGGGTGTGGTGACAGAAGCGTTGATAGATCACATTTTGACAATGGATATGTTGGTCGTTCAAAGTATGAAATTCCAGGTGAGCTAGACTGTGTGAGTGAACTTGTGTTGTTGTGTACTGCATAAGTTCGATTTCGTTGATTTGTAAATCTGTTATTCTCCACTGATGTTTTCCCAATACAGTTCTAACTGGTATTTTTATTGATATTATCTGTGACCATTACAGCTGTGTGTATTTCTATAGTCGTTAATAATTATAAATCAAAGTTTTTGAAGGTATTTTTTGTTTTCCGTGATGGAACTCACAATACCTCCCGTATTTTTTAGTCAGAGTTCCGGTGTCATTTTAGGCTTTTGTACAGCAGTTCTTGGATTTTTTGGATGGTCATCAATGTAGTGCTGATGTTCATTTCGCTTTCTCTACACAGTATACTGTTTGATTTGATGGTGCGTTCCAAGCTCTATGACAGTTATATACCTATTTCCTTTTAAAATAATTTTTCCAAATAGATCTATTTGCATCATAGTTTATTTATTTTTGTCGTAATTCAATCAAAATACATTTAGGCTTATCGAAACTGATCATATTCGACACTTCCAATTTTTTAATGTTCACTTCAGTGAGGACGGTTTGAGTAAATTGTCCAACTAAGTGTAAATGTCAGTAATCGTATATGTATATGTATTGGATATGGCTTAATTGGTGGAGTATTAGAATGTGGAATTGTTTCCATCTAGTATTATATGCTCGTTTTTATCCTTCTAATGATAATGCATTGGTTAAATATAACAATTTGTTCGCTTTACCTAGTAGCATGCTTGTCATGCTTCTATTTTCTTTTTGACGTAATATTAAAAATTCCCTTTTTACGTAGTAACGTGACTTTACATCAAATAACTAAAGTACATTTTTCTAGATGCTAATTTTGTCAAGTATCTTCGTGCGTGCGTGTGTGTGTGTCATGATCTAAACAATTGAATCATTAATATTTCCATTTATTCTTTGATTAATATTGGTAATATTAATGATGATAATAATCTTCATTTATTAGGTAATTATCGGGTAGATTCTCGGAGTAACAGACAAGATTCATATAATATTGGCGGTTCTCTGATGAAATCAGGGTCGCCTAATCTTCCGGGCCGTGGAAGTTACTCTAGATCATCTGACCGAGGACGTGATGAAAATGGTCCACAACATAACAATGATCGACGTCAGATACCTGAAAAAGTAGTTGTGAAAAATGTAAGATTTTCTTTTAGTTTAAGTTTGCGACTTAATGTAAATTTAAGAAATTTATTGTAAGTAGATTCATACATTCTGGTTTTCAAAATGGTACTCCATCTAGAGTTGTTGTGTGTTGAATATCACTCACCAATATTTTTTCTACTTTTAGGTTCTTTACTTTCATAATGTTTTAATTACTTCGATATTTTTTCATCCTTTTTTTAATCTCCTTTTCTCCTCTCCCGCAACTTGATATGTGGCAGCTTGAACCAGTGCATATTTGTACCCAGATCCTAAGTTGTCTTATGGTTCACAGATTCCCTTACTCAACATCTGCGAGATTTTAGACTTTTGGTGCTGTTGAGTTCTCTGAGTTATATAGTTTTCATTTTCATTCTGGACAACATCAGTATTTACTTCTTGTAGGAATGAGCTTCTTTGATTATTCCATATGCCTTAAGTCGGTTTATTTTGTTGGCTTTGTGGTTGTTTGTTCTCTCAGTTTATACTATAATATTGATTACTTTAAAAGTCAGTCAGTCAGTCAGTAACAACGTAGAACTTCGTACGTACGTACATCAGTTCGAGTTGCCACACCACATTAGCACAGAGATGGACTTGTCGATTCAAATCCCATAGTGGTAGAGGTAATAAAAGTATAAGCAGTAATCGGGAAGATTAGGGTTTGGAGATGTTATTTAAAGAGTATAATCCAGTGAAATAAATTTGGAAAGAGGAAAAAAGGGACACCTAGGTGGATCTTATGGTGTCGTGGCTCAAAGAACAGATAATGGCGACCGTCTGTTGCAGCTATACTCAGATAACCGCCTGTTCCTTGCAAATACTAACTTTAAGCATAAGGAAAAACATCTTTTAACATGGTGACCCCCTAATTCGTCCCAACGTTGGACCCGAATAGATCACATCGCTATCAGCCACCGATGGAGGGGCTCGATAGAAGACTGTCGCTCATTCTAGAGCACATGCCTAGATTCAGATCATGCTCTAGTGCGAGCGCGTATTTGCTTGCGTCTTACTGGACGTAGGAAAGACGCTGCAAGGAAACCTCTTAGGGGCCTACTTAATGATAGTCAAGCTAAGAGTATATTTCAGGAACAACTAGGAAAACAGTTAGGCAGCCATGTATGTGATGCCCACCCCGATGCAGCATGGAATGATATCCGAAAAGCTGTGGAAACAGCAGTGATATCTGCTAGTAAGGTAAACCAGAAGGTTAGGGAGCAACATTGGATCTCAGCAGCATCTATCTCACTGATAGATGCTCGGAAACTCATTCCGCCTGGCTCTGAACATAATGAAGAGCGGAGTCAGCTTAAGCGCAAGCTGACAAGAAGCCTACGCAATGATCGCGAACAGTGGTGGGTGGCGAAAGCAAGAGAGATGGAAAAGGCAGCGGCAACTTTCATATTGATAGAGCGTTGGGGGTATCAAATGTTTGTATTTGACTGAACTCACAATCCTTAGTATATGTTTCAGAAACTGAGTGACAATCTGTCTGTCTGTTTATTACGTATTATGTGTGGTACTAGTAACTATTTAACGTCATTCTTTTTTCAAGTACAGGTTTTGTTTCCAGCTTTAAGACGAATACTTTGTGTATAACGTTAATTGACAGGATACTCGGTTGTTCAAACCAGTGCAAGCACAGTGGGGGGTGTTTGCACCTATTAAATGCAAATCACCTGCCCTAATAACTAAGATATATGAATGTATATTTGATTGGTAAGAGAGTTATATATTGTGTACTCACAGTCAGTGTAACTCAATTATTATCAAGTTACTATTACACAAGCGTGCACATCAAAACGGATTTTAAGGTTATTTGTAAAATATTTCTGTTCTTACATAAATTATTGTAATAGAAGGTTTATTTGCTTGTAATTTCTATCAAGAATTATTACCAAATAACTAGTATGTCACAGTAATAACAATATTCCGGCGTCACTTAGTGAGAAATTCTTGTGTATACTATCTATTTTTAGCTTCCATTCTCATTTGATTCACATGATGTGAAAAGAATATTCAGAGAAGTTGGAGATCTAAACACTTGTAATCTGGTAACAGACTCTCAAGGTCACTCTCAAGGAATCGCATTTATCACATATGCAGATATTGATGGTATTTATCGTGCAATAGGTTAGTTGTTGAATGCAAAATTAATTATGCATATTTTGTGTGTCTTAAATGGTGTATTGATCTGTTATGTGTTTTTGAACAATGTGCTACTGTAAATGTTCATCCGTTTGTGTGTATTTTTTTATAGGTATTCTCCTCTCATGTTATCGTAATTGATAAATTCAGTCTGTTTTGGCACACTAAGGGAACTTAATGTAGCAACATTAAGCAACTAAGTATCTTGACTTGTTACTTACTTACTTACTTACTTACGCCTGTTACTCCCAATGGAACATAGGCCGCCGACCAACATTCGTCAACCCACTCTGTCCTAGGCCTTCTTTTCTAGTTCCATCCAATTCTTGTTCATTTTTCTCATGTCTATTTCCATTTCCCGGCGTAATGTGTTCTTTGATCTTCCTCTCCTCCTTTGGCCTTGAGGATTCCATGTGAGGGCTTGCCTTGTGACGCAGTTGGGTACTCTCCTCAATGTGTGTCCTATCCACTTCCAGTGCGTCTTCCTAATTTCTTTCTCCATTGAGATCTGGTCTGTTCTCTCCCACAGTAGGTTGTCGCTGATAGTGTCTGGCCAAAGGATCCGAAGTATTTTGCGTAGACAACTGTTGATAAACACCTGTATCTTCTGGATGTTGGCTTTCGTAGTTCTCCAAGTTTCTGCCCCATACAGTAGAACTGTTTTGACATTTGTATTGAAAATCCTGACCTTGGTGTTGGTTGACAGTTGCTTTGAGTTCCAGATGTTCTTCAGTCGTAAATATGCTGCTCTTGCTTTGCCGATCCGCGTCTTCACATCTGCATCAGATCCACCATGTTCATCAATGATGCTGCCCAAATATGTAAAGGTTTTTACATCTTCCAAATCGTCTCCGTCAATTTTGATTGGATCGGTGCATGCTGTGTTGTATCAGAGAATCTTGCTTTTCCCTTTGTGTATATTGAGACCTACTGATGCTGAGGCTGCTGCTACACTGTTCGTCTTCTGCATTTGTTGTTGCGTGTGCGATAGGAGAGCCAGATCATCTGCGAAGTCTAGATCGTCCAACTGCATCCTAGATGTCCACTGTATCCCGTGTTTCCCTTCAGATGTTGACGTCTTCATGATCCAGTCGATCAGCAGGAGAAAGAGAAAGGGTGAGAGTAAGCAACCTTGCCTGACACCGGCGTTTACTTCAAACAAATCTATGAGCTGTCCTCCATGCATGGCGTTGCAGTTTGATCCACCATAGGAATTCTGCATGATATTGACGATTTTCTGAGACACGCCATAGTGTCGAAGAAGCTTCCGTAGCGTTGTTCTGTCCATGCTATCAAATGCCTTCTCGTAGTCAATGAAGTTGATGTAGAGTGATGAATTCTATCCAATTGATTGTTCCACAATGATCCGTAGAGTTGCGATTTACTCTGTACACGATCTATCCTTATGGAATCCTGCCTGTTGGTCTCGAAGTTGGGCGTCTACGAAGTCCTTCATCCTGTTTAACAATATCCTGTTGAAGACGTTTCCCGGTATTGAGAGAAGAGTGATGCCCCTGTAGTGATCACAGTTGCTGAGATCGCCTTCGGTATTTTGATCAGAAGTTCTTCTTTCCAGTCTGTTGGTACTTGTTCTTCATCCCAAATTTTGCTGAATAGAATGTGGAGTATCTTTGCAGTTACCGCTACTTCTGCTTTTAGTGCCTCTGCTGGAATGTTGTCTGGTCCTGCTGCTTCACCGCTATTGATTTACCTGATGGCCATGCTTATCTCTTCAATTGTTGGTGGGCCAACATCGATTGTGAGATCCGTGGGTGCTGCTTCGATGTTGGGTGGGTTCAGTGGGGCTGGTCGATTCAAGAGTTTATTGAAGTGTTCTACCCACCTGTTTCATTGCTCTTCAATGTTGGTGATTACCTCACCTTCCTTACTTCTCACTGGTCGTTCTGATTTGCGGCGATTTCCAGAGAGTTTTTTTGTTATGTCATACAGTTGTCTCATGTTTCCTTCTCTCGCAGCCTTTTCCGCTGTCGTTGCTAAATCTTCCACATATTTACGTTTGTCGGTCCTGATGCTCCTCTTCACTTGTTTGTCTACTTCTGTGTATTCAGCTTGTGCCTTGGCTTTTTCTGCTCTTGGTCGGCTGGTATTGATTGCTGCCTTCTTGTTCCTCCTTTCTTGAATCTTATCCAGTGTATCAACAGTGATCCATTCCTTGTGATGGTGCTTCTTGTGGCCCAGGACCTCATGACATGTTGAAGTGTTTGCCCCCTTTATACCTTTCCAACTGCTCTCTATAGTAGTTCCCTCTCCATTGAGTAGATCATGAAAGGCCTGAAACTTATTGCTGAGGACTATCTTAAATTTGTTGAGTTTGTCAGTATCCTGAAGAAAGGCCGTATTGAACTTCTGTGATGTTGTCCGCCACGTTGTGCAGTGCTTCTTGAGTTTCAATTTCATCTTGGCGATCAGCAATTGATGGTCTGATGCTATATCAGCTCCTCTCTTGGTTCTCACGTCTTCCATCGCCCTCCTGAACTTTTTGTTGATGCAGATGCGGTCGATTTGGTTTTGTGTAGTGTGATCCGGTGAAGTCCATGTGGTTTTGTGTATGCGTTTATGTGGTAATATGGTGCCGCCTATGACCAGTTTATTGAAGGCACATAGGTTTGCAAATCTCTCACCATTTCTGTTTCTTTCTCCCAGTCCGTGTCGTCCCATGATGTCTTCATATCCAGTGTTGTCCGTTCCAACCTTGGCATTGAAATCTCCCATCAGAATGGTCAGGTCCTTTGTTGGGCACTTCTCGATGATTGACTGCAGCCTATTGTAGAATTGATCCTTAACGTCTTCATTGTGGTCGTTGGTAGGCGCATAGCATTGGATGATGTTCATTGTAATACCCTCTTTCTTTGTTTTGAAGGAGGCTTTGACGGTCCTCATCTTATAAGTGCATGTTGTGCTTGTTTGGATAGCATCAATGCAACTCCCTGTGTATGTGGAGCATTTTCTTCTTCATGGCCGGAGTATAACAGAAGTTCTCCTGAAGTTAGTCGTTGTTGTCCAACTTGCGTCCAATGTGTTTCACTGATCCCAAGTACCTCTAGGTTGTATCTTCTCATTTCTGCAGCAATTTGGAAGGCACTCCAGGTGTCCCACATTGTACGAACATTCCATGTACCTAAATAAATGGTTGCTCTGGTTGTCAGAAGGGGCTTCAGCCTCGTGACTTCCGAGGGAACTCGGCTTTCACTATGAGGCTTCATAACTCTTCTAAGTGAAAACCATCTGACTCCCAGGACAGATTTTAAATGGTTCGGATATTTTTTTCTGGTTTTTTATCGAGTTAGTTGTTTACGGGATGGGGTCGCTAACCCCATGCCCAACCCTCCCCCTTTTCCGGGCTTGGGACCGTCAGTAGCTCCCAAAGGGACTCCAGGTGGAGTTATCTTGACTTGTGGTTTGAGGAAACTAAATAAAAGCCGATCATTTTCAAAACAGTTGAAAATCTTAGGGTGAACAATGTAGCTTCCCCATCTGGCTCTGGTCGAGGATGTATTGATCATTTCTTCACCCTCCACCAAATGCTGGAACACCGTCATACTTATCACAGGTCAACAATCTTAGTGTTTATTGATATTAGGGCTGCCTTCGATTCGTTAGACAGGACTGTTCTCTGGGATTGTCTGTTGAAGAAGTGTGTTCCTAAGAGGTTTATTAACATCTTAAAAGTCCTATATGCGAACACCTCAGGCAGAGTGAGGGCATACAACCACCTCTCTCTATTGTTCCACCCAAGTAGTGGGTTAGACAATTTTGCCCAATCTCACCATTACTCTTCAACTTTGCTATCGATGTCGTTCTGGAAATAAAGACTAATCTTCCGGGCCAAGACTTTTACTGTTTCTATAAAATGCATTTGTATTGTACTAATTATTTCTATGCATAGTTTGTTATTATTAACCTCGGAAAACATAACAGGGAAAAGTACTAAAATATTAACACACCGGTTGGTAATAGAGTGATGATTCGTAAGAGGAAATGAAAAGAATGTTTTGGTGGGTATTGCCAGCACATTAATCATTCAGTAGAATAAACGACAATGAGGTAGAGAAATTCAACGTCCCACTTTCTCTTGAATGTGTTCTATTTTTTTTAAATAGATGCTTTTGACGGTAAAATATTCGAAGGGCGACGTCTTCGAGTGCATGCTGAATAATAATATTAGGTGAGTCACTGATTATTAATTTTGGAACCTTAATTATTTGAGTGATGTCACTTTATTCTTATGAGTAGTTTAATTCTATGGGTGAATTATTTTTTCTTGAGCGCTAACAGTAGTGTTGGACTTGTGGTGGCTTACTGGTTGAGAGGTTTGACTTGCAGCCACTAAATCCCGTATTCGAACATCGCTCTACCTACTTCGGTGATTATCACTATGTCCTAAGTACCTCGTGAATGAGTTGAATTTATTATTTTTACGTAGTGATTCGATCTTTTAACTCCACTTCACCTACCATATATATTTTTATTTTAGTCCATACCATTTTTATGACCAGTGCTATTGTTTAAACATTTTTTTTTGAATATTAAATGTTGTAGGCGTTATTTACGCCTAAGTTTTTCATTATGAACATTCGTGTAAGATTTTAAACCTTCTATAGAAATATATGAGTCTATATACTTAGTTAACAATCTAAAACCATATCTAAAACAAGAACTTCGACAGACTAGTTAGAACGGTATACAGTTGTTCACGGAAACCATTCTCAAAAGAAAAAAATTCAAAAAGAATTACCTTGGTTGAAAAGTGTTTGCGAAATGAGTTTGTCGCCAAGTATAGAAAGACAAAAAGGAAAAGAACAGGAATTCCCATGGTCAAAAAAACTCAGCTAACTAACAAGACATTGACCACTAGACAGTAACCAATCAATTATAAATATTTCACTTCCTAAGCGAGAGGTCAGTTGCTGCTCGTATTGCTCAGACTTTGAAGTCGGGAGATGCGGATCCGAATCGTACAGAGAGCTCTCAAAACACTACTTGTCCGCCTTGCCGTGCTTTTTACTTTCAAGCGACCATTTCTATCTTACTAATCATACTAACCAAAATAATTTCTATGAATATTTCACTGAAACATATTGTCTGTTATCCTCTTTTCTTTATTGTAGATTGGATTACGGTTTATCTTACTTTTACAAAAAAATGTATTCTTCGTATTATACGAACAGTTATGCACCGTCGAATGTTTTTATCGTTTCCTCCAGTTTGTGGCACCGTTCATTTCTTCTTTACTGTATATCGATATTATTGTTGTTATTATGTTTCCACCTGTGAATGAACATTGTTTGTTAGGTACATGAAATTCTTTTCGTTGCTTACACGATAAACAATGATAGTAATAATAATCACAAATGCATATGGGTTTATAAAATGTTTTATTTTCTCTGTTTCCCACCATTTTCGGATTTTCTATCTTTTTATATTTATTGTTGTTGCCCGACGCATTTTTATTGTCCGTTTGTTAGTTTGTCGTTTTCACTTTCATGCCGTTATTACCGTTCAAAAAATAATCATCGTCATAACCACTGTGGTTACTAAGGAAATATAACATTTTTCTATTATGTGTTTCTGTATTGTTACGTTCTAATGTAAATTGGTGGTTGTTATGAAAATATGCAGTAATAAATAGATCCTTTAGCTTTTTATTAATGGATAATCTGACACTATCTTTAGAGTATGCAATCCTATGCATCCACTTTTTATGTTCCAATGCGAAATCATATCAGATAGTGTCGATTGATTCGAGAGTGATGGAGGGAGTTACCAAACGGTGACTTTGAGTGGTGCGGCTACAGTATAACATAGGCTGTTTGAATTCATGAAATATTAATAACTTTTTCTGCTCCGGTGAATAAATCTTTTGGAATGAACCAATATATGTCAATTTAGTGGTCTTAATACACTCGTCGGGGGATCGTACCTTCGATATCACGTACTGTCGTCATTAGGCGCTGCTGAGGAGGTCACATTAAGACGAAATGACTGTTCTTCTGTTTTCCAATAATTGTCCAATTAACTTTAGCCAATTGTGTAATCTACCTGCAAACTGAACGATCTCTACACACTTCTCATGATTTTTCCGTAATAATAATCTCGTATTAGATGACATCAAATATTTTTGTTGAATCGATAACTCAACAAGTAATCATTATTTACTAAAAGTGATGGTTAGTTTGAAAAATTGGTTCATTTTTGTTCAAACAGACTTTGAAAAACAATGAATATTGAGTTTGATATCAACGTTTGTAAGATATTCGAAATCCCTTTCATCAAACTGAAACCTTGACTACTGTTTGTAGGTATCAATACCAAGGTTGTATTTGATGGTTCCAATTAAATTGAGCATTGAGTAGAAATCTAGTATTCAATATATTTTGTTGTTGTATCCCAGTGATTAGAAAATTGTATTCTTGACGTTTCATGACTTAATGTAAGCCACTTCAGAGTAAATGAATAACCGGATTAAATTGATACAACTTTTGTTATTTTGAAGTTATTCTCTTTTGTGTTGGAGAGTCATTAAAGGTAGGATTTCGCATAGTTGTTTCGTATCAAGCGACTGATCAAATTAATGTTTGGCAGAAAATAATAATTCTTTTATTCCTGGTGTTCAGGCTGGACATGAATTTTGGTCTCCTTGACTAAGACCATAGAATTTCGTACCATTGGTGTATGCTGTGTCTCCGAAACACAGGATCTTAGTGTGGTCATTCGCTTGACTTCACCTCGCCAAAACGGGGAGCTGACGAGATACACCCTTCGTTTACCTAGTTACCCGATGGCTAGTTCTCGTGGACTGGCGGATGTAGGCATAGCACAAAGTACGAGGACAGAATAAGCACTAGTGAAATGCGTCCCCGTTAACAGTCGCGTATATGCTGTTCGGCTCCGTAAGAACTTGGAAGGATAGGGACGCATTTTCGTCGTTTGAAGTGAATGGAACATTGAAGTAGGTCCCCCCGACTCTAGTTGAAGTTCAAAAAGCTGTAGCTAATCTGAAACAACTGGTCCAGATGGATTGGCTCCAGAGGTCTTAAAGGACGGTGGTCCAGTTTAAGCGATTAGGTTAACTAATATTTTAGCTAAAATCTGAGAGTTGGACGTAATCCCATCTGACTGGTCACAATCACTGATTGTCCCAATATATAAGAAAGGGTCAAAATCATCCTGTGATAACCATATAGGGATTGGTTTGACCACCATAGCATCTAAAATACTAGCCTTAATAATTATCGGGTGCTTAACAAGGACCCGTGAACTGAAAACACGAGAAAATCAGGCTGGCTTCAGACCTGGTCGTGGCTGCACCGACCACATATTCACCATTCGTCAGATCTTAGAACACAAGCATGTTTATTGACGTCCAACAATGGTGGTCTTCCCTGACTTAAAACAGCATGTGACTCGGTAGACCGCGAAATTCTGTAGGAGTGTCTGTCATTAAAAGACGTACCTCAGAAGTACATAAACCTTTTGAAGGCTCGCTACTCGAACACTACCAGTCGAGTCAGAGATTATGGCGAACTGTCATTTGCTTTTGCAACCTCAAGTGATGTCCATCAAGGCTGTCCACTTTCTCCATCTTTGTTTAATTTCATCATAGGAATAACATTTTCGTCGACTGAATTTTCGGCCATTGATCTCCTACCAGGAGGTCCACTTATCGACTTAGAATACGCAGATGATATGGTCCTGTTTGGTGAAGACGCTGATAAAATGCAGTGTCTTTTGGTAGCACTCAGCAACAATGCCAGGATATTCCGGAATGATGGTAAATCAGTTGATGATGTTGTGAATCTTCATCGACTGAGATGGTTGGGCCACGTGTTACGTATGCCTGAACATCGATCACCACAACGCGCGATGCTGATAGATTATAGAGAACGTCCTCGGGGCTTTCCGAAAAACCATCGCATGAGTGTTCCTTTTACTCAGTGACAAACTAAGTAGAAATTCTCGCATATTTTGCTTTGTAGACCTTGGATAAAGTCGATAAATTTTATGCGACGTACGATATTTAGACCGTAGACTAAATTACCAAAGACTGTTTACTGTTCTCAAATGTTGTCAGTAACTTTGTTGATTCTATACGGAATTTTGTGATGCGTCGAAGATTTTTAAGCGAAGGTGGAAGTTTTTACATGGGCATAAAGATTTTATAATTTGATGTTGGAAGTAGCATGAGTTGAGACACTCATCAGAAAACTTAAGTCAAGTTACTTCTCACAATATTTTTCAGCCTATCATCATCAAGTGACACGATGACTCAGAATATTCTACAACTTTCCTCAGTGTCCCATATAAGCTAAGTGCTAAAGAGGGGAATACATAGTTGTTATGGACATTTTTTGTTAAGAGGTATTTTGTGCCATATTAGCATATTACATTAATAACTATGAAATATACCAGTCATATATATGCATATTTCCTAATTCATTAGATAGATAGCTTAGTTAAACTAAACAATTATTGTTTTAATTAACTAATTATTATCAGTGTTAAAACAGACAGCAGTCAACAAACATACATACAAAGATGCAACCAAAAAAGTGTAGACTAGAAAAGCGGCAACAGCAACAACAAATTTTAAAACAAAACAAACGAAAAAAACACAAAAGTTCAACATGACAAGAACAGATGGGTAATCTCAGTTTGTCAATGGTCAGGGAAGAAAATACACAAACATTGGAATGATATTGAAAAGAAAAAAAGCTGGAATAAACAACTATCACTGTGTTTTGTTAGACTATGAAGTTGTTATATTGAGAGATGTTACTTTTCCTTCCTCTCCTGGTCGTCAACCCATCGGGATTAGAATATGAAAAGCAAATAAAAACACATCTCATGATCATTGAAAGACAAGTGAGCTTGAACATGTTGTAAGTAAGTAATGGTCAAGAACAGTCAATGATCTGATAACTATGAAAGCTATTGTTTATTTGTAACAGATATATAATGTAGGCAAGAAAAAATGTAACACTATTATAGTTTCTGCTATGAATTATAATTAATTTCTTTAGTAACTTATATTATGTAAACCCCAAGCATAAGCAGTGAATGTTAACAAGCGTTTTGTATTTGATATTGTAGTCGTTGTATCTTTATTCATAAATGATTCATTTGTCATAGGACTGATACACGTTATAATATTACCTAATTCAAGGCATTCTATATAACATAATGTCTCTTCATTGGAATCAGTGATACCGGCGGCAATTAACCATTGTTCCAGGGTGTACTGATAAAATATTTGTTCGTAGTGAATTGAATTAATTCTAAATAAAGAAATAAATAACAATAGGAGAGAAATCAAGCTTATAAAATACGGAGAATTTATATTCGAAGTAAGTGAGTCAATTAGTCATATGGAATGTTTGCGCATCGGTCCGAATTGCTGTACCACATTAGCACAGAGAGATAAAATTATCAAGACTAATTTTACAGTAGTGATAATAGTAATAATGGAAAAGATTAGGTATAGCAAGACAGAAACAAAGTAAAAGGAGATTTCGGAATTCACTATATAAAGGAAAACCAAGAGCAAATTTACATTTGCCATTATGAAGGATTCTGACTTATATCACCCCAAAACCCTAACCATTGCTTTCGATAATTGCACTGATCTCAACCAGGTAGTTTATGCCTGTTGAAATAGTTTAGTACAACTGTCGATAATTTCACGAGCTAGTGTTATGTATTCGTTTGGTCACGCCTAGCTTTCTTCCTATACATCAGACAACATTGACTTCATGGTAGGTCATTGATCGTAAGTAGTACATGTACCAACTACCTTAGTTCATCAAGATTCACCACCTCATCAAAAGACTTGCCATCCTTAGTTAGTGCCCTATTGATGACCTTAGTATTGCTCACTCGGTGGTTCGAAAATGCACGACAAATTCTTGGGAGATACATCTCAGCAAATACTAGTAACTTAAGAATGTCCTCTATTCTAACTTGACAACTATATCCAAAGTGATATGAGAAGTAAGTTTACTTAAACAACTTCCCAACTAGAAAATCTGAAAATGGTGAGTGGATCGATATCAAAAGTTGTGAAATACTGCTAAGGCGGTCTCAAGAATAGTCAGATTTTATTAGAACGGTTAAGATCTCTTCTGGAACGATAACTGCTCGCATACTTTCTACCAATTTGATTTTTCGCACGACCTTTGCCCTCTGATTGGTCGTCATATTTATTTAGTTCGCTAAACTGATACATGCTCGAAGGTCATATTCTGCTAGTATAGTAACAACTTTTGCACCCATTTCGTTGAGTTGCTTGTTCTATCTCATATATCAAGTTACCTGCAATTCTGTCTTCTTTCTGTCTTAGCCGTCGAGGTTTGATGCGTGGAGTATATTTGAGTGTTGTCAGTTCCGAATAGAACCTATAGCGTTAGAGAAGCTCAATCGTTTTCGTTCCTAAACCCGTAGCATTGTAGGCCGTACTGAACCCTAATAACAAGACACAACAAATACGAGAATGGATTTGTTGGGTTGATTGGAGATTGAGGAAAGAAGAAACTTTTGTGTACAAGTGATTTGGCCGGGTATCAAAATTAGTAATGAATTTCATCTAGGAAACATGGGGGATGATGACTGATCACTGAATGTCGTATGTTAGTTGACTTTGGTCGATAGAGCCTTGGTGTGGTTACTACCAGTCAATATGACTTGAATCCACGTGTGCTACACTTTGGTGTGATGTTTCAACTCAATGAACAATCATTAAAAATATTTCAGTCCGACAGGAGACTAATTGTAAGCAAAATAGCTCAATGTTAAGTGAAGTGGGTTTAAATAACATGAGGAGCAATAATTTCATCAAGATTGTACATATGGTTTGTTGACAAGTGTTCCAAGAACAAAGCATAGATTTATAGTTTCTTGTCAATCGAATGCAACTATATAACATAGTTCACATTCCGAATGAATAACTCACTAATGATCAACTATCATTGTTTAATCCAAATGTATAGTGTTAATTCATTTTTTAACTCCTCCTGTAGCGCCTCTAGGGTTACTCCAGGTCCAAAGCTCAGATAACGAGGAGGATTGTAGACCGGGTCGACAACCTCATTGATAATAATCATAATAATCAAAATATTGTAACAACATAAAAACTACATAAAAAAAGTTTTTGTCTTACTTACATTTTCCCAGTACCAATATTTGTTGAACATGATTTTAGATGAAATTTCACAAACTGATTCACTATTTTATCAATTTTACTCTTATCAACAGTTGTCTGATGCAAAGCTTCATTGAAACTTCCATTGAATTGTTTACTGGTGAAATGACTAAACCAACGTGATAAACTTTATATGGCAACAAGCAATGAATATAATGGAAGAGAGCGAGCGAGAGAGAACGTTAAAAAAAGAACGAATACATGTATATATATTATTATTGATTATCATAAGTAAACAAAAGTAAACAATGATTGGTAGGATGATCATGGCTTCAAGTTGCCTACGTGTACTGTTTTATAATTTCAATTAGTGTACATTTCATCGAGTAGCATCCAAGTGCTAATTCTACAGAGAACGGAGTACTTCATTAATATTTTGGTTAAACCATGTAAGATGATTCTATTCAATTATTTATAAATAGAAGTATAAATAGAATCCAATTGATTTGCATTCAGCTTAGTAACTTACGATTACTTGGTAATTATGTATAGGTTCACGATAGAAAGTTATGGTACTGTATTAACGGAACTATAAAGTCAATAGGGTTGATGTTAGATGTCGGTGTTATGGCGTACAATTTTGATGACTTAATGAACCAATTTCCAACTTTTAAAAATGAAAGAAGATCGATAGATGAATTCAATGATATGATGTTTACAATTGATAGCTGTTTACGAAACTGTATTATTGATTAACTCTACAATCAATTGAGATGTGATTGTTTGGCCTAATTTTTGTGGATAGTATCAGTAGCGTACTACATAAAAATGATAAATCGTTTGATTGTACTGTGAATATTCATAGATTAAGGTGGTTTTTTGTTTATAAATGTAATAGTCAAATAAACGACAAATGAAAAAGAAGCAATAAAAAACATAAACATGTACTCGATAGAAATCATCATTGGAAAAGAAAGTACTCGGAAATATGAAAAAAAAAACAGTTCAGATTTTGTCTTATGATGTCCAAATCACATTTGTTACTATTTGAAAAAAAACAAACAACAACAACAACCGAATTACTTATTTACACCTGTTACCCCTCGTGAAAGAGGATAGACCGCCCATCAGTATTCACCATCGAACCGAAACAATCTTACTAATACCATTGAATCTATATAACTTATTTACCAAATAGATATTCATACACTTGACTTAAATTTAACTGATCTGATTCTTGAATTACAACAAGTTGTTCGTCAATTGTGGAGAAATTCTTAACTCACACTAATTATCTATAGTTCATACTGATCATGTATTAAAGATAGTAAAAGCTTCACGACTAAATCATCTAGCTGAGAGCATATAATTCTAATAAGATGCAATCGAATAACATAGCAACATCATTTAGTCGGATTAAATGTTATGACCCCAATATCGATATTATGTAACATTGTAAATAAAAATATTTTATTGATAGAATAGTTCTTTTTTTAATTTTAAGAAAAAATCATTAATCTTAGGCATCATTAGTAAGTGATTAGAAAAAGACTTGGATATTGGTATTTCAATTTAAAGCATAGAAACTATTCACCATAAAGACAGAAAATGACTTCAAGAAATAAGAATTTACAAATTGTTTAATTGAAAAAGAATAAAACAAACACATCATTAAATGATGAATTATATAGAGAAAGAATAGTAGGGAGTCGGTGATCTTTGAAATCAATTAAGTTGAACAGTTGATATGAAGAGTTTTAAACTATGAATTAACTGAAGCGGTAAAATATGAACCAATGAATACTGAGTCAATATAGCTGAATAATACTTTGTTTTCATTATAAAACGTGAAGAATGGTGTGTTCAATCCAGAATGGTAGAAGAAAAAGCAACAAATGAGGACTAGATGACAGTCTGATGATGTCTAGCTTCAGGATAATTGCCCAAATGTTATCGCTATGTCATTAGTAAAACAGAGAGGTCAAGCCGAGAAGTGGCATCAGTTCATGAAGATGTTAACAACTGAACTAAAGTGTATTAGTAGATGTAGACTACTTGGTCGGAGTCGGTGCGGTTATGGTAACCACTAATTGTATACGTTGGGTGACTTGACTCAGGAAAGGCCTTAATGGTGTAGATATATCCAATTTTTATATTCTCTTAGATTTTTAGTTTCAAAATTATCTCATACTTTTTATTCCGTGAATTTGTTCTTTCTTATTGAATCGTATTGTCCATTTCTTATAACCACTGATATTGATAATTTCAATGATATAGTGTAGTAATTTGAATAGATACATGTATGTAGCAGTTTATAAGTTCCTTATAACTGTCTTTTGAAAAACTCAGTTTGACAGAATTAGATATTCGTTTGCAACCGCGTATATTTCCATGGGACAGACTATGTGATGATAGTTTAAATAAAAATCGATCAAATGGGATCCAGACAGATTTTCCCGAAATAACGAAATCAAATTTCATGAGATTGCAATTGATACTCTTAGCTTAAAAACTGCTATACTAAGTAACGTTTCAACCACTGAATAATACAACATGTCACTTCACATGACTATTAAGTCATACAAACAGCCACATACTTTTAGTCTCAGCACTTTTAAACACAAAGTGTCACATCACAGATCAACTTTGGTCAAACGACCACTGAGCATCAGAAAGCACTCGACAACTGGAAGATTGTGGGTGAGCATCACCAAGGAGTCTCTGATCGGGATAAACACAGTTGTCCAGTTTTCGGTGGTTATCTAATTAAAATCAACCAGTGGTGTGAAACTATATATTCAACAATCTCCACAACATTTCGTTATAGATTTCAAATATGAAGAAATGTAGAACAAGTACAACTAGTACTATATCCATGATTTAGGGTCAGAAAGTAAGTAAGTAAGTAGAAAGCGGTAAGGTGTTTAAATTCAGTTTTATACTTACAAACGTTTTATCGGTGCAATAAACAAATCTGCATCCAGGCCAAATAATACAAATAAAACTACACCTTGACCAAAATTAAAAGAACCATCCAAAAATTCGAGAACTATGTAAACACCTGTTGGAGCATCATGTACAAGCCTCCAAGTACACAGACAAATACCCTAAAAAGAGAAGAAAAGAGATAAGAATGAACATAGTGGGATCTCATCTGCTCAAAATGACGAAACCTATCATAAAGAGATAATAACGTTTAATGTGATGATTAGAATAAGTAAGCTGATGTGATTCACAAAATAAAGTTGTGAACGAAGCTGAGAAATTTACGATTCAATGAACTCCTAACAAAATACAAGTCTTTTGCTGTTACCTACCGTACATAACTCAAAACTGTTTAGATTCATACCATTCAATAATTAAGTATTTCGTACCAATTAAAATGAAGGTCATTTGCTTTGAAGTAATATGTGTCGCAGTTGAAGATGTTGTCAAGCTTAAATATCATATTTCATTCATATTCACTGTTTAACTTAATTATGCATTTAGAAATATGTGTAGCGACAAAAATGCGAATAAATGTCTAACAACAATAATTTTGAAAATATAGCCAGATACAGGGATCTGGGAAAAATCTGATCTTATCTAAGTTGCCAGCTGCAGAAGACGAACGTAAAAATAGATAAAAAAATAAACAAAAAGAAAATACTAATATACAACACAGTGGAGAATTACCAACGTAAGGAACTATAGTTCAAAACAAATATATGTAAGCAATGGATGAAATGACATTGTTGTAATGGGTGAGACTGCAGATCTAGATAGCAGCGTTTTAATGATCGGATTAGTGTCACGTTGAACCCGCAAGATAGACCTAGAGTTCCGATTGGCCCTGCTTTGCTGTCTAGCCCAGCCAGTTGAGCCCAGAACACAAGTCACGGCCTCTGAGATATGAATCATTATATTTCAGACATACTCTATTTATATACCAACCAACCAGACCACATCGTACCATAAAATAGAAAAACAACATTTGTACAATATTTGACAGGTGAAATGAATATCGACCAATGGAAATGTCCATTTAACGTCCAAGGACACCATCAGACCTAACATGATAATTGTTGATATGTTCCTCTGCATCCCTAACAGATATCAAGCTCAAAATGACAAATAAACGTGGTTACACACCACCGTAATTTTTTTGTTATATCATTTAACTTTAGATTCTCATAAAAAACTATCAGTATTTCAAGAAGATTAGGTAATTTGATTGAAATCATGATCCGATCAATATTAGAACATAGAAAAACTGGAAGCACTGGATGACCGTTTTGTCCTAGTATGAGGCTCCTCAGCAATTCGTAGGTGGATTGAATCCGGCGCCTCCGATCTCGCGCGAACGCTTAACTTCTAGATCACTGAGCTGACATTAATCGGTGTTAATGTCTAATTCCGACTAGTCTGCAATACTGTGTGACTATCTTCGATTGTCTTCAGTGGATAAATGTCTTACGCTCGACACGGTTGGACCCCACTGGTCACAGCTGCTCATTGGAACTCTCAGAATACTCTATCAAAGCTAGTCACTAATCAGAACATAATAATTTTCAGTATGGGGTTATGGAAATTGATCGGTTGATGATTTCAATCTCTACAACCCTATATTAAAGATTAAATGTTTATTTTTTCAACAAACTATGCTGTAGTTTTTGTTCACTTCACTTTTAATGCTATAACACTTCAAAAAATCTAAACGTTTACTGCAACTCGGTAAGGGTTAATGTATCTGGCGCTGAATTAAGTTTACTGAATGAGGTCTGAATATACCAATCACTCATGAAGTGACTGGAATAAGATTTCTAACACAAGATTGTTTCAATGATTGGAAGTCAAACAGAACAGTAAATAGATTGTAAGTTATATGGTAAAAAAACGTTTAATCAGATCGATTTTTTTGAACAGATTGTATTTTGTTACCCTGTAGTTAGAAAACCTGTTTTGATTTTAATACAAACCGTGAAGCTATAAAAAATGAATCACTGAATGTTCTTACACTTCTAACATATAAACAGACATACACTTCAAGTGGTTAGAGACAAGGATGAGGAAATCTCACTTGGTGTTAATCACGATCGATAATAATGAATTAACGAGTTATACTTAAATAGTATAATGGTGAGTAGATCCTGGGAACAAGCTTCTACATGCAATTCTAGTTCTAGAAAGACGTTTTAACTAGTGGAGTTCAGCCACATCAGGTGCAAGACAGTTACCCACTGCAGACAATAGGAGATGGTCGCAAAATGCTACAAATCAATTGAAGTTAAACATATACAACATTAAATTTTGGATTAGGTTATGTTTGTCTCAGTAGTTAATCAACTGACACATACACACATACATACATTGATAACATGAAAGTAAACTTACAAGAAACATTGTAACTAATATTAATATTAAGAATATCACATGTTTATGATGTGGAGGTTTATTGTTTCCCTGGGCATGAACATTATCCAACTCAAGTCCTAAAGAAATTTGTTGAGTTATTGGATGCGTAGCTGATGTTGACGATATCATGGAAGGTTGATGTGTTTCACAATATCGTGCAAGAATTCTAGACAAATAATGAATAAACAAAGAGGAAAAATGATAATAATTAAAACTTATCAATTTACTACATGCAGTACCTTTCAAGTTTATCCATAGAAAAGAAATGAAAATAAACAGAAATGTCAAATAATGTTGAATGGGGGGGGGAGTTTGTAGAGATTATAGTAATTCAATTGTTAAATCCATGAGTCGATTTAAGTTAGGCCACCATGGTATTGTGGACAGCAAAGTCAACTTTGAAAAGGTCTTCATAACGCCTGACCCAAGTATCAAATGTAATATTGGCATCAGGATCATAAAGAAATTCTGAAATAGTACTGATAATACCATCAACTGATTGAGGGATTGTCGGTGTAATTGGGACTCGAGAAGATATGTGCGCCTGAGTAATCATCCCCATCAACTTCAGCTTTTGTTATAACAATTATTCTAATTTGGCTGGATCCATAGTTAGTCACCAACTTGTTTGCTAAATCTCCGTCGCCAAATTATTGTGGATCGCGAGGTGGCTACTCTAATTTCTACCGACTGACCAACTTCAGATATCCCAGTACGACCTCAATACTGTTCCCCAATCTCCAATATATCAGAAGACGAACCGTAGATGAAAATTGTTTATGCGGTCAGGAGAAGAATAAGAATGCATATTTATACAGTTAGGACTACCGTGAATATTGACCAACAGGAAAATGACACGTGAAATAAATATTGACCAATAGGAAAATGACACCATTTCATGCTCAAGGATAGCATTAGACGTAACAGGATATTTTTTTTGAATATCCCAACACATAAAAAATCTGGAAGCACTGGATGGTCGTTTCTTCATAGTATAGGACTCCGTCCAATGCTTCCAGATTTTCCATGGTGGTCTAACTTAAATCGACTCATGAATTCAACTATTAATTTTGAATTTCATTTTTTTCTTCCTAAAAAGAAAATATTCTCTAAAACAAACAACAACAGGAAGCCAATAAGAAATATGAATTTATTTGATCGGTATAATTGTATTCTACTTCCTGTAACATATTCATCACATTCTTTTTTAATACAAACATGTATACAATGATTTTTATTGCTTGTCGTCAACTCCCACGTTTTCTAGCATTATACTGAAAACTATGCTGATTTGAATTGATATGGTTGTTTTTTTCTTCTTCTTTATTATGTAATTCATAGAGTGAATGAGTTGATGTTTAGTTCTTATCTCTTAAGTAGTAGTAATTTTATACAACCACTGAAAAAAACAACTTCAAGTAATACAAACATCTCTTTATCTGTAGTTAGGAAAGCCTGTTTTAAATAATAAACTCTAGTCAGAATGGGTTTTGTGGAGATTTTAGAAATTTCACAGATTGAAATCATGAGTTAGTTGAAGCTAGACTACCATTGAAAACCTGGAAGCACTGGACGGCCGTTTCGTCCTAGTATGGGACTCTTCAGCAGTGCGCATCCACGATCCTGCACCACGCGGGGCTCGAACCGTTGGATGCCGGCTCAGTGGTCTAGTGGTTAAGTGCTCGCGCGCGAAGCCAGTAGGTCCTGGGTTCGAGCCCCGCGTGGGGCGGGATCGTGGATGCGCACTGCTGAGGAGTCCCATACTAGGACGAAACGGCCGTCCAGTGCTTCCAGGTTTTCAATGGTAGTCTAGCTTCAACTGACTCATGATTTCAATCTGTGAAATAAACTCTAGTGTTTATTAAGTTAAATAATCGTAGGCATCATGAATGAAAAATCTTACGTTATTATAGATTGACTCTATTGAGGTCAACAAGATTTACTTTTTTTATTAGTTAGTTCTTGAGTTAGATTCCGTGTGGTGAGTGCATTATAAAATACGTTGACAAGGTGATCGATAGTTTAATGTATCCATCAAATTGAACTAGTACAACGAACTACACTTTAACAGATTTTCTAGATAAAACTGGTTGGGTATATATGTAAGTCTATTTTGGGATACCCACTAATCATAATTCTTGCACGGCGATGAGAAATATGTACGATTATGTTTCTCCTACAGCATTACATAGGTCAATAGTTTCGATTAATGTTGTACATAACAAATGTTACCAGTTTGTAAGTTTTCTTTTACTTTACTAACTAAGAGCATAAAAAATATCAGTATTATTTACATTAGTATTGGAAATAGTAGTTACTAGGTGAAGAAGCTGTACCTCACTTCTGGGACTTTTGATTCCATGTTTGTCTAGTCCTTTGGCGCTATTCAAATTTTTTTCAGTCTACATGGCTCAACATCGAGTGCACCATGTCGAGGTGTTAGACAGACGAAGATAGTCAACAGCAAGTCCTGGACATCGGTTTCATGTTTGTTGGAAATATACAAACATGACACTGTTTACGAGTCAGTGATCAACCAATTTATGTATCTCGCCTAGAGTTACTAGAAGAGCTTAGGAAACCGAATCAAGCGTTCAGTAAGAATATTTAGAAGTCAGTCATCGCCTAAATAGTTCACTGGTAACGTCTCAGACTAAGAAACTAGGCGGCAAGTGTTAGAACTGTGAACCGGGCATCAATTTCTTTATTACTTCAGGTATACCTTCCTGATGGGTATCGACTAATATCAAACTTGGGTTCAAGGTTTCCTGTTAACTATCTTTAAACATCTAACACATTGTCATGTGCATGCTAATATGTAAATCACCACATATTACGGGGAATTTCATTTGATGTTGAAAGCAAACAAGAGATCGCTGAATTCAGATTTTTTGAAATCACTAATCAAAGTGTATCTGTGATCTTGAGACGATAAATTTTTTATAAGTAAACATTTACTAAAACTTGCACAAAATTCAAACACTGTATATAAGACATGAAACAAAAAAAAACTCAACGATTGAAATTAGTTGCCAGTCCCAATGTTTCCTAGGGAGGTCTGATTTGATCTTACTTGAAGAGAATATTATAGAAATTATCAAAGATATATAATATGATAGGGAAAAACATTATTTTCGATTATACAATAGTCCAATTATGTCCAGATGTTGGGATATTCAGTAAAAATATCCCAAAAATTATTCTGTTAAGCCTAATGCTATCCTTGGACATAAAATGGTATCATCCCATCGGTCAATATTCATTTAACGTGTCATTTTCCTACTGGTCTATGTTGTACAATGTTATTTTCTATTTTATGGTACGATGTGGTCTACTTGATTAGTATATAAATAGAGTGTGTTTGAGATATAGCGATTCATATATCCGAGGCTGGACTCAACCAGCTGGGCTAGACAGGGAAGCGGGACCAATCAGAACCCTAGGCCGTTCTACATGTTTGCGCGTCTTTGGTCCGATCAATAATTCACTACCCTCTAATCAGCAGCATTTTCACGTCATAACACCAGATATAAATGCTTTTTTTATTTTACGAATGCTAATTGATATAAAATGTGCTTAATTTGGGACTTCTGTAGAGATTCATATAATTTATGGGTGATATATGTCACAAACTGATCTCAGTTGGGGTGCCGCTGAAAATCAAGAGGCATTGCACAACTGTTTCATTCTGGTATGGGACTCCTTAGCAATATACTCCGAAGACCCCACTAAAGATCAAGTTCAGGATTTCAAGGTCGTGGTATCAGTACCTAACCATTTGATCACTGAATTGGCATTCAATGGTATGCTTTTCAAACTTTAATCAATTTGCGATATATCGTGATGATTATTCAGATGGTTTACCCACTACAACTTCAAAAAATTCATCTCAAAGTAAGTCATTAGAGAGCTCAGAACTATTGCTTTTTTATAATTTGTGGCCGACTGAGCCCTGTTAATGTATAACGTAACGATACTGTCAATTAGTGAGCAGTGAATTATCGATCGAACCAGTGACGCATAAAACACGTACGAGCAGTCTACAGTCCTTATTCGTCCTGCTTTCCGCCTAGCCCAGTCAGTTAAGTCCAGAATACAAATCTCAGTCTCTGCGATATGAATCATTTATTTCAAACATACTCGGTTTATATACCAACCAGGCAGACCACATCGTACCAGTAAAATATGAAACAACATTTGTACAAGAATTAGCCAAATATGGCTGTGAATGAGGGAGGTAGTAATTAATAGACAGGCCATAACTCAAGAATGGTAAATCGTATAGTAACAGTCTATGGGTCAAATTAAAGCTTATAATAAGAGAGACATGAGTATGAACAGTCTAGTAACTTAATAATTAAACGATAAAAATATACGCATAGTATTGGTTCATAAACGGATCTCAAAAGTTATCATTCATTATTGTCATCGGGACATAACATTTTTAATTTGGGGTTTTTGTGAATTTTTATCTAATTTACACGTGGTATTCATGGTAGATTTACTTAAATGTGTCTAAATTACAGTATGTGATATTACAAAGGTCATTTCTATGTAACACTACAGTGATCATTTGATTTATGATCAAAGTCAAGTTAATCCATTTGTCCACTATAAAATTGAAATTTGGTAGAAATAAACATGAACTGTCTCGAAAAACATACGTAAATAAGTAAATACTTATCAGTATTTAGTGTATTGTGTTAGTAAAAGGTTGTGAAAAACTTCTCTAATTATGATAAATAAATCCACATGGCTGTTTTTAACGATGACAATTTTCGTGTTTAATGTAGAAATAATTATGAAAGTTCATTATTATAATGATGTTTTATTCTATTCAATAATCAATAAATGAACAAATCATAATTATTTACACTGGGTCCCATCAATTCAACTTAATTCATATATATATCTCAATGGTTAAGATCATGATCTTAACCATTGAAATTACTACAATCTCCACAAAACCCATCTGATATTAACCAACATATGTTCACTAGTGACTGGCTTCACGAGGTTTATCCTGGAGTTCTAGTGAGAAGTAGTGACCAGTGGAGTTCAACCAGGTTTGTTGTGAGATAGTAACTCACTGAAGACAATGGTGGATGTGTCGCTCAATTTCGTGGATTAGTTGAAGTTAGACATTAACACCGTTGGATGCCAGCTCAGTGGCCTAGTGGTTATATATATATATATATAAACTCCGCCTGGAGTCCCTCCGGGGGCTACTGCCAGTCCCAAGCCAAGATAAAGGAGGAGGGTTGGGCATGGGGTTAGCGTCCCCATCCCGTAGAAAACTAACTCGCTAAAAGAACACTAAAACGCTATATTCATATTCCTTTTATTATGAACTTCAATTTGACTTATTGACTACTTATTTTACGACTTACGGTTCTTAAGTTATTACTAATTTATTAGTTGCAGTCTCTGACAATCATAGACACTTTTGGCTTGATTAAGTATAATTGTTATTTCCTATTTTGTGGTTTGATGCCGTCTGGTTTGTTTGTATATAAGCTACTTGTGTCTGAAATACATGATTCATACAATGGAAGCTGATATTGGTGTTCTGGAATTAACAGATATGAATAGATGAGAAAGATCAATAAGGACTACAGGCTGCTCGTACGGGTCAACGCCTCATTGGTTTAGCACAGCACTAAGATTGTATAAGTCGTGTTAGTTAACAGACCACAAGTCATAACACAAACCATTGGTGCAGATGGGCTCCATGATCATGAGAAAACAATTGACGTATGAATTTATTGTTGGTCACCGGCTACAATGAGACTTCATTTCCTAACGTTGCTCTATTGCCTTGTGGTTCAGATGTCTAGGTCAATGACCCAATGACCGGTTCCCTAAGAAAACCACCTGCTTCAGTTTGGTCGCCTGGTCAATATCCCAGCCCTAACACAACTTCTGTGTTGCCTATATATATTTCGGTGTACTTTTGTACTAATGTTTTAGTGTTTAAATAAGTAATCTGATTACACAACTGGATTTGTCTAAAAAATATGTGCGAAATTCAGACGGGGAGTTATAAAAATTGGCGTTAGACTGAACTTAGTAAACGACACATTTTAGGATAGAAAAGACGACATAAAAAATGAAAAAGACAGGAAACTTTCTCTACAAATTTCATTAAATCAGGAAGTATTCTGCAATACAACTTACTTGGCACATTCTTTTCGTTGTTTCTTATCACATTGATTACAGAATTTCGCAGAATCACATGACTGTGGAATTTGTGAATTTCTACAACTTAGTAACTCGGAATCATCACTGTTTCTAGTGATTCGATAACTGTCTGTAATGATTGAATTACTCGGAGAAGTTTGTTGAGACTGTTGTGTTTGATTGGTATCATTTTTGTCAAAATCGTTAAAATTTCGACAAAGTTGTGAACGACATATTCCTTCTGCTACCTATAAAAAATGTGAACTAATGAAACCTGGCTAGAACTGACGAAAATGATCGAGCTTGTTCATAGAATTATAATGAATTGAAAGCTCTACTAACGGATGCGGATAGCTGAAAATACACTGATTGGCCATTGGATGGTTATCAATGCCATGATTGACTAGTCCTGTAATACTGATTGAATTCTGTTGATAAAGTTACAATGTTAACACTAAATTAGGTGACTCAAGATTGTGGTGCACTTTATTTCATGTTAACTGGTTGTTAGACGCCACGCGAAGAAAGCCCTACTTGACTTATATTCTGGACTAGTCAGCTCTCGTCAGTAAGGTGCACTTAAAATATTAAGTGAACCGATGCTTTGTATGTAATTCAAACCCACATCGCTCAATGTCATAGTCAAAGGTGTTACTGTAATGAACGGAGATTTAGTGAGAGTAAACCAATTTATTGTATTAAGCAATATCACATTGTGTTTGTAAAATATGAAAACATTACATTGAATACACCATTTACACATCTTCCTTGAATTATCGCTTACACGTTCCATCATTCTTTTATTCCTGTTGCTAGTCGAACTTTTTCTGCTTTCATTTCTTTTCCCCTCATGTTCCGCTTGTCAGTAAGAATCCTACTTCCAATTCTCGATATATACTACTTATATCTGTCTACATAAGTAGCACACACCACATTACTGCTATGTCATTCAGGTCGAGATTAAGATATTTGCGCTAATCGCTGACTAGATGGATAAAAGTGTTAAGCGTTCAACATTATCAACAACAAAGAAAATGTTATATTTCCTAGTTAGAATCATCTTAATAACAGAATTCTCGTTTATTTAAAGGTTGAATTGAAACAGAAATTTATAAACAATATGGTTGACTTTGATTATTAGATCGATTCGTTCTAGGGGATGGCAAGACGCGCTGCATATAGTATAATTCACTGATCAAATTACAGATGTAATTATTGAGAGAATTATTTTGATATTCTAAACCAATACTATGAAGGAGTGAATATATTAAACTACTGTCTTTTTTCAAACCTGACATGAACATCATTGTTTAAGGAAAAATGTAGAACACAAATTGTTGTCATAAAGTTCCTATTGATGTAGAATCAGTTTACCAGTCAGTTGTTTATGGACGATCTAAGACCTGGCATGACTATAGATTAGTACAAGTAGTCAAATCATATATATATATATATATATATATATATATATATATATATATATATAATTTGAAAAGGAATTTAACAGGGGGATAAGTAGCATGAAATTACATAATAACTCGAGAATGAGTAAATTTACATAGATGAGACCGGTTCTGAACTATGTTGCTGTCTGTAGTCTGCAAACACTGATTACATGTGTCCCAAGCAAGAACATTTTCACCTTCCAATACAATTCAAACTAACAATCAATAACATCATGCCTCGTTTAGTCGCTCTCAATTATTTATCAATCTACGTCTACAACCAACAATTTGTGCCAAGGGAGTCGGCGTTTGTGGTATAAGTTGTTAAACATGCCCCATCCGCCTCGAATTACAGAAATTCATCATCTCATCAATCGATTTTCAAACTTTACCTAGTACCATACGGTTTACTCTAGTAATGCTTACTTGTTGGTTTCATCAACATGCATGAGCTATGTGTCGGAGATATTTAAAATCAAACACTAGTCACCTTTATGTATGTCCTCCACTTTCAGAGGTAATGAAGTTTCATAACCATGAAGTAGGAGATAGTAGATAAACATTGGTGAAAATGTTTGTAGTAAGTAGAAAAATACAAGTGAGAGAAAGTCAGACAACAAAGTCACTAATACCAAGTCGAATTTCACACGGAGCACCAGTTTCTTCAAGACTGTAGGGTACATCTTCCTGAAAACGGCCAACTATCATGACCCCTAGGTAAAACTGTCTCTAATCACCTAGTATTAGTGACAATAATAATAATAATAATAATAATAATAATAATAATAATAATAATAATAATAATAATAATAATAATCATATACGATAACTTACATCTGGTGATGCTTTAATCTCATAACAATCTTGCACAGGAACATCGATTCGTATAAAACTGATTAAACAGGCTAAAGTACCAGATGCATTAACTATCAAAACTATGATTGATATAATCAGCTGATTTTTTATTCAAACAAGAAAACAAAACACAGTGTTAAGATCTCAATTTCAATGGTAATTGAAAAAAGAGAATAAAAAATTGCAAACATGATCTCATAAACGATGCCATTTGTTTTTACCATAGATTTATGTGTTAGTTACAATACTACTGAAATGACTGTTTAGCATTAGTTTACAACGAATAAATAATGCTAATGCGCGTTATGTGTCATGAATTGACTGAGGTTACTAGGTGTAAACTATAGTGATTAAGACACAGAATGATCGAGACGTATTACAGTGGCCATTAAAAGATTCGAAAATTAATCCTGACACAAAATCCTCGAAACTTATCTTTTAATGATACAGTCCTCATTATCTAACATTAGCTATCAATGCTTTAAAATATTAAAATCTCGATCCGATTATTATATCATTTAAGTTGGAAAAGTAAATCGAGAGTATGAAATTACATCAGGTCAATTTAAATGTTTGATTTTTATCTGCGGATTAAAGAATCCAGAAGTTGTTGATGTCCACACCATAATTTTAATGAGCATTGAGCAGGAACGTAACATGACTTTACAAATGGTCACAGTCGAACGTCAACGTTTGTTACATTTCAAACATGATACCGCGCTGGTGCAACTTTCAGATTTCAAATTAGTGAATCCAATCAAATCCTCAAAGCCTTCTAAACAAAACACAGCAAGCGCACAGCAACCTGCTGGCAAACCATCACCATGTTGGTTTTGTTGAGTATAGGATTTTGTCAAATTGTGACCGTTTAGAAATTACAAGTGCCGCAATTCTCATCGCATTGGTCATAAAGAAGGTCAATGTTCGTCAAAATAAACGCCGGTCAAAATGTCGTAGCGTAAATGTGAAGCGACGTTCACAGAGTCCAATCAAGAGTACTTTTGAGTTTTAAAGTTGAATTTCAAAGTAAACGGAAGTATGTAAGCTTATTAGTGAGTGGAAAACCTAGTTGTCTTCAATTAGATACGGTTCCCAATATTACATTGATTTCCAAAAAATATGTGCTGTAAGCTAAGGTATCCATGCATTCAACCAATCGAACATGTTTCCCGAAATGCCTCAGGAGATATAGTGAAGCTAGCAGAAGTCAAATGCGTGGTGCAATTCATAAAACACAAATCCGATGGCGTTTGACATCTGAATAATCGACATGATTTAGATTTATTAGGGTTAGAGTAGATCGAAAAGATTGATCATTTGAATAGCTTATTAAATGAAGTATATTCTCACAAGCTTTCCTCCGAACTTATTCAAAATTCTCATAATGATTTCAAGTCAATAAGCATTAATTAGCATGAAAATCAGATTTAGGAGTCCCCTACTGATTTTTTCCAACCATCTATCATCGTAATCGATACTTAACTAGCTATTACTATGAGCGAGTTAGAGAAACAATTATCGAAAAACATTCCACTTACTTGATTAGTACCACATTGAAAAATCGGATCGATATCTTTCACCATATGACCAAATGATGTTAACAGTAGTAGGCCAGTGACAACTGCAGGTGTTCTACAAATCAAGATTAACCAATACAATAATCTTCACACATCGAATAACTGTAAATTCGAGAGTAAGCGCAAAATAAGTTTACAATCAAATCGTAACAGCATGAAATTAGATGCACAGAAATTGGATCAAGATATATGACTGAGGTCTTCAATAATCAGCAACTAATCAAACTGATTTTTTTAAACGTATACTGTAAGATAGATAGAATTTATACTCAGAACACAAGAAAGCAGAAAGCAAGCAAATAATGATTGAAAAGATAGAAGTTATTCAAATGATTCGATATAAATGAGACTATGAAAATGCTAAAGATATATATAGAAATAGTAGTTTGGTATATATATTTTTTAATTGAGGTAAGACATCATTCAAAAAAGACAATTCTTAAACTAAAGATCTATATGTAACGATTGAGTATTCGACTTACATTTATAGAATACATACACCCATGTCTCATTTCAACAAGATCGATAGAATTTGATTATTACGGATATTCATCAATATAAGAACGAATAGTTTGACAAAAATTGGTCGCCAAGATTAGGGAAGTCATTATATATGTGACAACTATATTTGAAATAAACTCAGTGATTGAAATCTAGAATAATTCCAATATTTCGTCCAAAAAACTTGTCTGGACTTCTTCAGGGTAATAATCAAAATCATCAAATATCCAGTGCTTAACAATCAAATCAAATCTATACTGTGCTAAGCCAATCATGTTTGGATGTTGATCTCAGTAAACAGAATAACATAAGTCACGTGGAAAGTTCACGATGTGAAAATAAATGACCTAACAAGTTGAGTGTGTATGTATGTGTAAGATTGAGTTATTAATAGTTGAGATTACGTGTTAATGTTTTTATATGAAGGGGAAATAAAAGTGCAAGGTGAAGGTTGAAAATTTGTTTCTGAATCATTGATGTGCATGTAAAATGAAAAATCATCAGATATCGATAGCTTTAATCGACTAATGAATTCAACTATTAAATTGCTAAAACCTTCACAAAAACCCCTTCTGATAAAGCACATAATCGTATTGCTAAAAATAACCAACATTAAATTCAGTCAGAATAACGGTGCGTGTGAAATAAACAGGTTGCATAAAGAATGGGTCCAATTACTTGTTTACGAACATTTGCCAAGTAGTCGCTACTTGAATACAATCCTTTCGGTTCAAACTGTTCTTATTCGCCCATATATACAGCACTTCTGCTGTCAATCTTTCTTTATGGGTGTTAAAACCTTTCTGAAGTGTTTTGGTCCCTTTAAAATTAATCTTGGGTCCTGTTCCCAACGCATGTAACGCTATCGCCGACTTATTCTCAAGTTTCTTTAAATCAACCGTGGATTTGAGGGCATTTTTCAAACATTGTTTGTCTTCCTTCAACTTCACCTTCAGTTGTCTAGAAGTTTCTCCCACATAAGCTTCATTACAATCATGGCAGCTGACCTCATAAACAATATTCTGTCGTTCTTCCTCTGAGAACCTATCCTTAACTTTCACTAATGCTGATCTTATGGTGTCACAATTCCGAAGATACACTCTTATATCATGCTTGTTTAGAATTCTCTTAATTTCTTCCGATGTTTCGCTAGGATGTGGGATGACCACGGTAGACTTCCAATCTTTCGATATACATTCTAGTTTAGTTTTTCTTTCATTTCTAATAATCCTCTTTAAAAATTCTTTGGGTGTAGTTGTTATCCCTAAGTGTAGACAAAACTCTATTCAATTCAACCTGGTGGTAATGCTTCGTTTAGATTACACAAAGAGTATTATTCTCCTTCGAGATTGAAGATATACTGTGCTGTCAGGTATGTCAAACATTAGAACGATGCTCGTTGTCACGTGCTTACAGAGTCATCTTACAGCTAAGAATGTAGCATTCTAATCTTGATCCACTTTTAAGTATGATTCTCAAAAGACGTGATCAGACAAAATGAACATTACTTTTCAGTCAAAATTTCCAACCAATTACTGTTTCATCTAATGAATAATTAGTTAACTATAAGTAAATAAATTCATAGACAACTTCAATACACTTCATACAAAGATGAGTTTCATCTAAGAAATTAGATCGATTGGATAATATGTACCTTTATCTTTAAGAAGAAACATGCAAAGTTGAACACTATGCATTCAACGAAACAAGAAGAAACTTAGTGTCTTTGTTACTAACTAAGAAGAATTGCGTGACCGTTTCATTAGGAATAAAGGATTCCTCAACAGTAGTTCCTATTCAAAACTACTCTACCACACATAGAACCGAAGATTACTGACTCATTATGTTTAGATTGTTGAAATGGAATCATTTAACGATTTACATTCTCCGATTATTTTCTCTGTTTGTAACGTAGCTTCACTGTTGTTCACAATATCGCTGAACTTCCCATCATCATTTTCACAGTATTATCATATATTCTAATCAATATCGACCTATTTTATAGATGACTTCAAAGGAGTAATTGTAAATGAGGGAATCACAAGTAAAAAATGTTTGTCAACATAAGTAGTATATAACAGCAATCAGAAGTGGAATACCTGGCAGCAGAATGTTTGAAAGATAAAATAGAAGAGAACGCAAATAGTTAGTAATTGTTGTGCTAATTCATGGAATATTTGCCAATGTATAGTTTTTATATTCTATCAAGAAACTGTTATTTCTCACCCAAATACATTGGTTGTCTCCACCTATATGTTCTTGTACATTACAACAACATTGAAATGTAGAATACTAAACAATCGATAAGGCTATCAACCATCATGGAAATCATAGTCTATTCTGTGTTATATTGACTACTACAAGAGTAGATTGTAATGATAGTGATTATAAAAGCAGATAGATCAAGACAATATGACATCAATTTATCAAGAAGTTCCATTATTCTAATAAAATCGATGATTATATCAATATTAAATAGAAAAATCTAAACACTGTGTTATATGGGTATTTGATTAATTGTAAAGAACATTCAATAAATAAGTTTCATTCATTAATGATGATGAATTTGTTTATGTGAAAAGAAAAAACAAAAAAATTTACTTCATAATCAATCGATATTAAGGATTGATTCATTGTGCTCTAATCGATTATTATAGTTCATATTGGTTTGTTAAGAATAATTATTTTCAATTAATGATAACAGTTAAAGAAACACTATTGATAAAACTACTGAATAGTTAATTTAGTAGATAATAAATGAAGGGTTTTAAGCAATATATATGGGAGGGTTGGGGGATACTGCACGGGTGCGCCAGATCACACCTCGAGCATTTGACCTAAAGGTCTAATCCAAAAAGCAGTGGGACAACGTCAGCAGATGCAGTCCCATGGTAGCTAGTGAGCAACAATAGATTCATATGCCATTTGTTTTCTTAGGATCTTGGAGTCCATATACATTATTGGTTTGGAATCAGGATTCTCCATATCCATACATTTATTATGTGAGGATATTTTTATTTATTCAAACACTGAGTTGGATTTCTGGAATGAACATCAATTTTAGGATGCAAGTATATCCAGCTAAAGACGAGTTCGAAATAGGACGAAACGTGCATCTTAGATTTCACTACTAGCTGACACATTCCTTCTATTCTATATCACATTCAACATTGTTTATAACTAATTGATTTACTGAACAAATGCTAGATTATTCTATAAGAATATTGATCGTCAACTATACTCAGTTCTACATCTATTATCAACATAAAACCGTAAATATTCAGGTTTTTCATAACGTATGAACTAGATATGATTCACTTACAACTTGAATTCAATTATGCTATATACTAATTAACTAACTAACTAACCAACTAATTTAATATAATCAGAGACGGGTTTTGTGGATACTATAGTAATTTAATAGTTGAGTTCATGAGTTCATTGAATCTAGACCACCATGGCAAACCTGAAAGCACTGGACGGCCGTTTCATGAGTGCGCACTACTGAAGAGTCCCATACTAGGATGAAACGGCCATCTAGTGCTTTCAGAGTTTCTCTAGTGGTCTAGTTTCAATGGACTGATGAATCCAACTATTAAATTAATTTAATATAATCTAATTTTCGCTAATTATTATTTATTATTAAGAATGACCATGATTTATATTTGAGAAAATCATTTCATAATTTATATGTTTACACAAAAACTTCACAAAAGCTCACATTCATTGTTACAAATATCTTTGAATACACTGATATATTCCTTACAAAAAAATGTTTTATTTAATTTAAGGTAAAACAGTATAATTCACATAGAGATTAGATAGAAAGTAGTGTATTAAACAAAAAGTGATGTCTAGTAGTCGGGTAGTGGTATTTGTGAATAGGAGTATATAGGTGCAACACTGTGGGCTTAGACAACCAACCAATCAATCAATCAGTTATTCAATTGATCATGAAACACTTAAATTAGATAAAAAGTGCAAATTTAATAAATTTACATGGTTCATTGAAAAAAAGTGAATAAATCACTGAATTATTTACACAATCTGTAGGAAAAAAAACATATGCAGACAGTTACGCCAGTATTTAAAACGGATGGGTTTATGAAAAAAAGGGCAGAAAGAGAAATTAGACAAAAATAAAGATCATTTCATACAATGTGAATTGAGAATGTAAACAAATCGGTAAAATCCTATATGACATAACAATCTATCTATGTAGGAATGTATTCAGATGTAGGTTAGTGAACTACTACTGAACTACTGACAATATCCATAGTTGGTCTAATAAAAAAATTTGAAAAATTTCAATGGTTGAGATCATGAGTAAATTGAAGCTAGATCACCAAAGACAGCCTGGAAGCACTGGCCGGCCGTTTCGTCCTATTGTGGGACTCTTCAGCAGTGCGCATCCACGATCTGTCGGAATAAGTGAAGAAACTCAACAGGAAATAAGATAAGCCATAGTACCGCTAACTCGATGGAAAAAAGACAACACCCAACTAACTTTACAAGAACAAAAAGCCTTAGAGAAACTCAGGACTACAGATGATATTGTCATAGTCTCAGAGGACAAAGGATGCACTACAGTGATTATGGACAAAAAAAATTATATCAGGAAAGCCGAAAATTGACTGTAACTCCGGATAATGTTTAATTACTGGAGATAAAAAGTAATTGGACTCTATTTACGGTTCAATGAAAGTCTAATCTATAAAACGACAAGATATAGTAACAATGAGAAATCATAGGGTTCGAAAATAAAAACTGGATGAAATAACGTGATTTTGGATCGGCGCTCCAAGATTTTGAAATCGATACTGTGTACACACTCATGGATGAATGGAAATGACCTCAGAAATCAATTATATGATAAAACAATCCATGTAGTGTTCTTCATGATTTTAAAATTATTCTAATTAATCTGATCGAATGTCATAGAAAGCAAAGATAAACAAACTTTGTTCATCCCAACTTTCACTATACACGTACAGAAATCTTTATTTCTTAATATTCGGATTATTAAAATCAAGGTATATTTGATAATGACCACACGAACTATTAACCAAAACAAAATTAAAAGGAAAGAAACTTACAAGAAGCCAGCTAAGTAAATATGCAATTGATATCGTAATACAAAGCATAGACTACGTGCACGTTCCATAACAAGAACTAATGCGATTAATGTGGTCCAACAACGTGTACCCGTAGAACCAAAAAAGAATATTGCAAAATGCAAGTAATTTAACCAACGTATTGGTTGACTCAATTTTCCACCTAATTTTAAGTAAAACAATGAGGAAATTACAGAAAAACTCAGTAAATAGGAAGATGGTAGAGAATAATCCATTTGTAATATACAAATAATGCATAAAAAGGGTATAGTCAAGAATATATATTACAACAAATATTCTAAGGCATGTGAATCGTTTTATGTAAGCCTACAATAGTCAATGCATTAATAAAATTCATCTATGACATACGAAATCTCACGTATTCACCTTTAAATGAGGGCTACTGATGTTAGGCGGCCATCCAAATCGAAATATGTAAAGTGAACTTAAGACCTGAAACTTACTGTTTGGAAGTCTGATGCTTGACTCAATAAGCCACAGTGATTGATATGAGCTAATATATTCCTTAGTTTTCAATCATTTAAGAAATTGATCAAGAAATCTAACAATGTTTGTCAAAACGCAACTGACCAACATTTACAGATGAAAGTAAAGCCATACCGAATCTTGACTTGGCCACAATGAACTTTGTTCCGTTCAGTGATGATTCAGAGTATTACTCTACAACATGCTTCACATCAAGGATCTTGGTGAAAAATCCACTGAAAACCAGAAAGCATCAGGAGAATGTTTCGTTCCGCTATGGCACTCCTCAGAAGTACGCACAGGACTTTCAGATCTGAAAGTGAGTATTTGAATTCTGCAGTGAGCCAGAATTCTGTGAGCACAGCCCACAGGTGAACTTAAGGTAGCTCAGAAAGAGCCGAATACATTCCATCCAATCATCTTTTGGAAGAACACTCCAGAAACTAGACGCGTAGCTTCTCTATTGGATAGAAGCTAAAAACCACTGTGTGCGGGCTGGATGATTATAATGATGATTTCGCTTTTACTAAAAAATATAAATACCTGAGAGTTCTGCACCATATTTGACACTGTTGGAATAACGCTCCTTCTCATTCATCTCATTTGAGACTTGGAGGGTTCTAGCGTTCGAGTGCCCAAGTAGTACGCGGTATAGCAAGAACATAAGCTTTATATGTAACACATACTGTAATGAACAAGACACGGGTGGGGACAATCGAATGTATTTAACACAAAATTACAGGACTTGTTAATAAAATCTAACAATCATAAAGTAAATGCTTAATTTGCAAAATTTTTACCGATTGTCTCAAAATGACTCAGACTTCATTGTTCTTGCATTTTCATACAAATTGCATTCTGTTTCCATTCTTTACTGTTCGATCCTTTTGTCTCTCTACTGCCAGACCTGTTCACGACAAACATCACATACTACTTATGTCAATATAAGTAGCACACACAATACAATGGTTTTCGATATATCCATAATACACCTGGACCAACTTAGTCCATCCAGGTTCACAACAATAACGAGACGAGCATATACTCATATTTTTTGACAAAACACAATTTACACTAGCTGGTCATATCATGTTTATCTAATCCCCAGAGGTGACTGAATTCTGCACAAACATGAGATTAAGAGACTACTTCGCAACTAAGTGCTGCAAATATCTCAGTCTTATAGGTCGGTTAGGATATAAATAACTTCTTGATCACATCATGTCACTAAACGTGATACTGAGTGATGCTAGATCAGTTCCTATGGGTAGCATAAGATCTTTCAAGATTCCAGGTATATCTATATGACAAGTGCCACCTGGATAAAACGGAGCTCCATTTCAACGAATGCCTACAACTAGCTTATAAGTTAGCCGATTACAAGTATGAGTATCACATGTTATATATTCTAGTCAATGTTCAATAAACAATAACACGATTTTCCAAAATTTAATAATTTGTATAACAAACCGTTTACACTTTCTTCAATACCATAATAATAATTTACGAAACGACCAAGTAATAATCCAGTACAAGTGAATAGCACACAAATTAAATGACATAATGTGAATCGATTAGGAACTCGAATAGCTTTTCGACTAACACAAAGTACACCCAATGTCCAAATCTATTAGTTTTAAAATGAACAGTCAAAGCAAGTTAGAGGTTTTTACTTTAAAAAACAAACAAATACAATACTTTAGTTTATACAAATAAATATAGAAAACGTTTAAACTCAAATTATTCCCACCGTTTTCAACCCTTAAGGTGTGTGTTGTTTCTGACAATTTCAGTCATTTTGTTGTTTATTTAGTGGGCTAGTGGCGGATATTGAAGTGCGATTCACCTTAAAGTATTCACTTCAACAGGGTGAAGTTGTCTTTAACTGTCAGCTATAAAAATGTCAGTGTAGCACAATCAAACATTCCGGATGAAAAACATAAGTATGGTGAAAGTTAGGGCATAAAAAAGGACTTATACTGATGATTATACCCTAATATCCGGCACTCATCCATGTAAAAGTGGTTCCGGATACAACACGTATATTGAAGACTGAAAACGGAAGGAATAACTTCAGTCGATTCATGAAGAACGCTGAGAACAGTTCACCTAAACCTACAAAATATGCTGAACAAACAATTTCCTAGGCTCTACATTTCTCCTTGGTAATATTTAGGTTGTGTATGACTGATTGACTATCATTCAATGTCTATTGAAATGGGTAATAATAAAATCACTGCGCATTTCCTGAATGACATGTGGTCTTTTTCGTGAAGTAGATCGGTTTTTGCAAATAGTTGGCGTATATCTTAATACTGCAAATAAAAAAATTGGTAAAATACCATTTTGACAACATACAAACAAAACTGATTAGTAAACTTACACAGCATACAATACTAATCCAAGAAATATCTTCAACAGTTGTACCGAGTATACTTGCATAATCACTTGGTTCTGCGTTGTACAATGTAATAATACGTGCAAAAATAAACATAATCGGCGCACATAGGAATGTTCCCAAGACAAGACCAACACCGATCTGTACGTGTATATCCCAACCATGCACATAATTAGATAGTGCGAAGTAAAAAAAATTAATGAATAATAACAGATGATTAGAGTGACCATGGACGAAAAAAGTTTACCAATTTTAACCAACGACAAAAAAGAGATAGGAACTTTAAAGTGTACACTCAATGGAAGTCATGTAACTTTAGGTATCAATCGTTAACAAATATACTATGGAGTCGGAAGTTTGTATGATTATGAGATAAAAATTTACTTCACCCTATTTATTATTGACTTTTGTGATTTTGGACAACCGCATCGTAACAGTGACTTGATGACTTGGAAGTAGCAAGTTTATATTCCCAGGGATAATGTGAGTCTTTAAAATTGACAAGCTATAGTTATACATTTGGCCTTAATGGTACATCAAACAGCCATTCAGAAAACAAATATACGGTTAAGGCATGAGTACTGTGCTACTCTTTTAGGATTATGAGGCGTAGATGTCAGGATTGCCTGAATACGATCATATTTATGTGATCACTTGAAAGTTTGAAGGAGAATGACAGTGGTATGTAAGATAGATAATCAATTCAGGGTTCAAAGTTGAGTTTAATAGAGAGAGATAAAAGGTCTTTTTTATTGAAATCATGAACCAACCAATGTTAATTCACCATCAAAAACCTGAAAACATTGAACGCTCGCCTCGTTCTAGCATTAGATTCCCTATCATTGAGTACTCACGATCACGCGCACGAGAATCGAGTACAGCACCTCCGGTCTCGCACGAACACTTAACTTCTAGACCACTGAGCCAGCATCCATCGATGTCAATGTTTGACTTCAATCAAACCATGATATTACACAACAATCTTCCATTGTCTCTGGTGGTAACTACCTCACACTACACACGGATCTACGACATTGATTGAGATTAGATAACAACATTGTTGGATGCTGGCTCAGCGGTCTAGAGTTCGCACACGAGGTCGAATGTCATAGGTTTTGCCTCTCAATGCGGGATTGTGAATGAACACTACTGAGGTGTAACGTACTAAGAAGAGGCGCTCGCTCAGTGCTTCCAGGTTTTCAGTGGTGGTTCACACCTTGGGTCGGTCCATGATTTCAATGAGACTGATGAAAAGCGGATTACAGAGGGCAGACGTCTCAACTTCATGAATAATGGATGACTCAGTCTTTATAAGCATGAAAGAGATTCCAGTAAGCATATAGACGCACATGTATTAGCATACATACGTGTATAGACATGTGAGTAATAGGATAAATGAAAATATGAGACGCTTTTGTCCAAGTGCTAAAACAAATCACGAAGCCATGTGATAACAGAAATCTGCTAGACATTACAAAGATTAAAAAAAAAGAAAAATACTTATTACGTATGATGATAAAGGCATAAACTATTGCTCTACTCTCCCTCTATTATTTCACCTCTTATTTTGTCATTTGTGTCAACATTCTATACAGTACAAAAAAGTGCATTTTCATTCAATAAAGCGACGACAAACTATAATGTAATATCTCTTCAATTCATTTAAATTCTGTTGTTGTTTTGTTCTTTTCTTCTTGTCATCTATAAATCGATGCACTTTTGTACAAAAACACTCTGTGTTGTTCTGTGCGTGTGTGTTAAAAAGTTACTTTTACACTGTTCAATTCGTGGTTAATTCCTACTGTGTTCATCTTTTCATTTGTAATAAATGGAGAATTAAGCAATGGAAAATCGGGTAAATTTGTAGATCGGTTCAAGTTGCTACACAGTATGTGTAAGTAAAATGGAATGAAGTTATGAAGACAAATATCAGCTGTAGAAGTAGTAATAGTATCAGTAGTAGTCGAAAAAGATTAACGATGAGAATGTTATATGAGAAAGATAAATGAGTTTATGAAGTAAGAATTGTAAATAGGACAAAAGAATTAATGCATCCGATTGATTATTAGCTGTAAACCGAGAGAATTCAATTGAGTCACTAATCTCTTCTAGATAACGTTCTTGGATAAAACAGTAATAATAATAATAATAATAATAATAATAATAATAATAATAATAATAATAATAATAATAATAATAATAATAATAATAATAATGGCTTAATGCGAAATGAACTTGGTACTTAATCATGAAGTTATAGTAGCTTGGTGAAGTTAAACACCAAGTCCATCCAAGGCATGGTTAATTTACATTACAACTATAAAGCTTACATCGATTAACTCAACATTCATTGGCTCCATAGACTGCTCGAATTTATCGGTCTATTTCTCTATTCCGGCGTTTTGGTTTAGACATTGGACTATAAACTCGTAATATATAAGACAATTGCATCAATCAGTATGATTGGTAAAATGATCTGTTCAGTGCTTACGAGTAAGTAGCTTCGAGATGAAATCCCCAAACAGGGTCAGCCTATGTAAAATATCCGAAATTAAACGGATAATTTATGTTAGTAGTTCATTTCTCGTTCGTTCCTTCATTATTCCTAATGGGATAGCGATCTTGAGTGCTGTTAGGCTCTTTACTCGAACACTACTAGTCGAGTCAGAGCTTATGGCGAACTTTCATTTGATTTTTCAACCTCAAGTGGTGTCCGGTAAGGTGGTTGTCCACTATCTCCATTTTTGTTCGACTTCATCATAGACCTACTGCCGAAAATAATGTTCTCGTCGACTGAATTTTCAAGCATTGATCCCCTTCAAAGAGGTTTACTTATCGACTTAGAATACGCAGATGACATGGTCCTGTTTGGTGAAGACGCTGATAAAATGCAGTCTTTTGGTAGCACTCAGAAACAATGCCAGGATGCTTGGGATGCGTTTCTCTCCCTCTAAATGCAAGTTGTTGCTCCAGGACTGGTCTGCGTCATTACCTTATCTAAGGATAGGGAGTGAAGTAGTCGAACGCGTTGACAACTTCACTTATCTTTGAAATCTGATCAGTCCTAATGGGTCGGTGTTTGAAGAAATCTCAGCACGGATTCGAAAAGCTCGTTTGGCTTTTGCCAACTTACGTCACCTATGGCGAATGTGAGATAACCTATCAATTAAGAGACAAGTACACTGCGCAGCAGTTCGTCCTGCTCTACTTCACGGCTGCGAAACGTGGCCATTAGGAGTAGAAGATATTCACAAGTTACTAGTATTTGACCACAGATGCCTTAGAAATATTGCTGGCATCTGCTGGGATCACCGAGGAAGTAACAGTGAGGTTAAACGCAGGATATTACAGAATGATGGTAAATCAGTTGATGAGGTTGTGGATCCTCATCGACTGAGATGGCTGGGCCACGTATTACGTATACCTCAACACCGACTACCACGACGTGCAATGCTGACTAGTGTTAGGAATGGTTGGAAGAAAGTTAGGGGCGGCCAAACCAAAACATGGCATCATTGCTTGAAGTCAGTAACATCTAGTCTGTACCATGTTAGTAGATGCAGACTACTTGGTTGGGGTCCGCGTGACGATCGTAACCAATGGTTGGAATATATCTAATGAATATATTTAATGTATGAATTCTATAGTAATTACTTCAATTTTCTTTAAACGACGCAGAAGGAAAATATGCAGACTACCATGGTGATACTTATGAATTTCTCAGTAATAAGATTCATGATAGATATTCAACATTTTATGAAAGCCATTAAGTATATATGATTGGTAAACATAGTGTACGAAGACAGTTTTAAGACAAGGAAATTGCCAGTAATTAATGTATGTTTGGAAAAACAACAGGTCAGAAATTTGATCAAGTCTCCATGTCATATCACTTAGCTGTCTAAATTAGAAAGTAGACATTGAGGAAAAGGTTCAAAAACCAACTACACTCTACCGGTAAAATGACAGAAAGCAATTTTTATACAATTAGACAGTATACATTTATTAATATATAAACTTACGGCCACAGGTATAACTTGATATTCAGCAGCAAATAAGAACACAGGTGGGGCTGTCGGTGTAGTACCATACAAGAAACCAAATGTAGAATAACGTAATGTTTCATTAGCCAATGCAATAGGCATCATTTGAACAACAATTTCACGTGTAATAAAAGGAACAATCAAACTATTAAATTAAAGTGTAACAGAAAAGAGAAAAAATTAGACATGTGATTTCGTAAACCATCTTTTTTTTTAAAACTAGAAAAACTACTTTAAAGTTTGTAGCAATACGTAAACTGTTAAAGAAGAAGAGTGTATTTGTAAAATCTCAGCGAATTAACGTCTGCCCATGTGGCCTAATGGATAAGGCATCTGCCTCCTAAGTAGAAGATTGCGGGTTCGAGTCCCGCCGTAGGTGTGAATATGTAAGCTGGTTTTAGAAAGAAACGCACGTTGAATGTGTCGACATTATTTAATTCATAAAATTGAGAAATAGATGACTATCATGATTAAAATTTAGAATTTGGTGAAGAATTCTACAATGATAACTTCTTACTAATCAGTATAAATAACTTCATTTTCTAAGAAGAAATCTAATAAATATCGTTTAGTCAATCAGTTATATACAACGTGCAACTTCGTACATGTGTACATCGGTTTAAGTTGTCACATTTCATTAGCATAATGAGATAAAACTGTCAAGGTGAATTTCAGAGTACTAGAGGTAGTAACATTATATGATAGTAGAAAAGATTAGGTATCGAAGATAAGATTCGAGGAGAAAATATGGATTATTGAAACCAAAAAAAACTGGATGGTAATTTAGAAACTTAGGAAAGAAAAAAGAGTGGTTGTACTTGTGCGATTGTGAACGATTCTGAGTCACTGTCATTCAAATCCTCCGACCATTGGTTATTATAATCACGAGGACTCGAACCAGGTAGTTAGTTTTTATATACCTACATGGCTCAGTTCAACAGTCAGCGTTTTCATGAACTGATGCTACGTCTTGATTTGACCGTCCCTAACTTACTTCCAACCTATTTCTACACTAGCCATCACCAAGTATCAGGGTAAGGAGTGGATGAGAATATTTAATACATGTCCTAAATATAGCAATCGATAAATATGCAATATCTCATCGACCGATTTGATATCTTTACTTAGTATCCTGAGTATAACTTAATATAAAGTTTCTAATTCGCAAAAACTTATTAATTCACATTATAACTATCTTCAATACAGATTTTAATCTAACTTCATTTGACTAGAGTCAAAGTGTAAACATCGAAGGCTGGTGATATTAGTAATGAAAATGACAAATACGCGAGATTTCGTTATATTTTACTAAATATCAACATAAAGTTGATAATTTAGTGGATTTAAAGTAATCGACTTTCGACTAAATATGTTACAGATCCGAATCATGTTTCATTTATTTTAGTTTCAGCATTCGGGTAGTATCACTAATTCTTATAAACAACGTGGCTCAATGTCAAATGCATTAATCTGTAGTTGATAAATGAATTGCATTAATTAATCATTTACTCACTAGTGACCAATTTATAGAATTCTTGTAGTTTTGGAGAGGAAAAAAGAGGCTGATGGTATTTTTCAAGAGTGAGACAGGTATCATTGACTACAACCGACTATATTTATTAAATATCACGAATTAACTGGAATCGAAAATATGAAACATTGATTGTCGACTCAGGGATCTAGAATTGACTCATTAGATGTGAGATCTGAGGGTATGGATACAAATTGCTAATTAAAAGTTCGATACTAGAACGAGACAACCGTTCAATACTCCCTATTTTCAATAATTATCTAGGTAAAATCCGTTCGTTATGTGAGCGAACTTCAAATTAAACAGTTTCCACGAACCTCCGAAGCTATTAATACAGACTGCGTAGGAAGTAGACACACATCGAAGAAAGGGAACTTACAGTTTTGTCAATAGGATTGTTGTCAAAATGTAAACTTCTCTTTGAGTGATAGTAGACATTTTGCCAACCATACTATAACCGAGTGAAAATAAAGCAGTCGCACTGAAGGAGTCAGCTTTCAAAAGAACATTAAAGAGACAAAATATGTTTTATAATGGGCCAAGCTTGCATGCAAGATTAAAAATACAACAAACCCTGGCAATCAGTAACGAAACGGATGACAGACATGAAACAAAAACAAATCAACTAGAGTAAAACTCTACAATCACATGAGGATTTTTTAAAAATATGCTTCGTGGTTGGTTCTACTCTCTTTAGGACATTACTCGTCGAAATTGCCATAAACTGATATTTAATGAATTGGTTTTTATAGAGATTTTAAATTAGTTATTGAAAATCAGAGAGATCTGGGCCAGTTTCTTTACATCTCGCTTAACGGCAGCATAGAAACGAGACAGCATATTGATGAATAAACATGATAAACTGATTGAATTTTTTAGAAGTAGGGACTATTGGATTTCAGTTGACGAGAAGGCTTAAAATTTTCTGGATTCAGTCTAGTGTTTGTGGGGCTGTGACTCAATAGCTAAAAGTGTACGACTTTCAATCATTCAACACTAGATTTGAAATTTTTTCCATCTATTTTAAATTGGACAACTGCCAATATCATCAGCTCGCATATGTAGAGTGCGGCTCGAAGCCAAATACACGAATTTATATCCTATGAGTTTTGTAGTGTAGTTGTTGTATGATGAGCGGACTGATGAGGAATCCAAAGTTAAAAAGAAATAGCTGCCCAGTGCTTTTTGATTTTCAATGACTCACCAGCATAAAAAAACATGAATAACGGTCATTTGAAACAGAAGCGATTGTATTTCGTGGGTCACCCATATGTCAGTGAAATGAAGATTCAACTGTGAGGTTTAATTCTTGTTCATAATATCAGAAGTGAATTACTACTGAATGAGTATAACATTTTTTAAATTTTAATCTGTACATTATGGAAAAACATAAAAGATTTAGACGTCTAACTGAATGAAGTTGGGAATTTGACCATAGTGATGTTATTGTTAAATCACTGATCCAAACAGCTCTGATCAATTTGATGTACCAGATGTGCTGATGTACTGAATAATTTACTCATTCCAAAATGAATACTCATAAACCTATCAGTGGTGATTTCAACCTGCATTTAAACGAAACGACAGTTTTGTACTTAGATAGTTCTGATTCATTTAACACACAATCCGATAGCAATTGATATGACTAGGTACTATTTATCTCCACATATTACTCAATACTGAAATAACAAACAACTAATTAGTACGTGAAACCTATGCGCTATAAGATTGGCTCAAAGATATCGTGTTTGTCATGAGAACTGAAAGTTTTGTATTCAATACCATGTGAGGCAGGAAGGGATTATGCCAGTGAGCACTTATACTAATGGAGAGTTTCAAACTACCAAAAAATAACAATCTATAGAATATTGATTTCCAATGATACTATAATTTCGATTTTTTATCTTACTTTAACAAAAATTACCCTCATAAAATGTCCGAAATAGTAGTAAATTAAGAAAAAAACAGGAACACTCACCTATAACACTGAGCAAGCCATTTATATACACTGGTAAGTGGTGTTTCAATATAAGATTAAAAATGATACCAATTAAAGTCATGAAAATTAAAGGATTCTTGAGAACATTGAACATAACCTATCGAATAGAAATAAATAAGTGGATACATGTAGACAAAAATTACAAGAGAATAATAACAGTCATGATGATAACATGTATTCAGTACAATTGCACTGTAAATAGTTCATTGACAAACTTTAGTTAATTATACACTAATAAACTTATGGAGAGAATTAGCATCGATCCAAAAATGAAGCATAAATATCTTTCATTTGTCAGTAAATAACAGATTTCTTGTTGAATAAACCCGATCACAATGTAGCTGAAAAGAAATCCATCTAAAATTTAATAATTCCGAGTATTTGTAATTAAGTAAGAAAGAGTATGGTGAGCCCCCAAATGCCCTAGTACGGTCGAGGGTGTGGAGAGTCAGCACTCCCTCTCCAAATGCTCTCACATGGCCACGTGCATACAACCACTCTCAGGGAAGTCCTACTCACTGCTTTCTCGCACCACGAGTGTTGTTTACGAAATTGAGAGGGCGAAAAGCGAATGTCCGGAACTTTAACCAGGTTGGTGGATACGGAGCATTCACCTAGGGGATTGGGAAAAACCTGATTCCAAACCAATGGTGCACATGGGCTCCGGTATGCTGAAGGAACAAATGGCGTATGAACCAATCGTTGGTCACCGGCTACCATGAAACTGTATCTCCTGGAGTTGCTTCACTGCCTTGTGGATCAGACCTTCAGGTCAAATGCTCCGGGTGTGGTTCCCCAAGAAAACCACCTTCTTTGGATCGGGCACACGAGCAGTATTCAAGCCCCTTAGACAAATCGAATGATTTACGTGGAGTATATCTGTTTGGTGCCTCCTTGTACCAATGTTTATGTGTTTAAATAAATAATCTTTTAATAATGAGAAAGGTTTTTGAAGTCAGTAGAAAAACGGTTTAAAGTAGACGGAAAGTTGTTGCTGAGTTCTGAAAAAATCTCAGTCATTTATGGAAACAACATGCCAAACAGGGTTTGAGTTCTCTAATTGAAAAAAAATCATTACTGCTAAAATTTTAAAAGATATTCAACTGAAATTAGTGAGTAATTAACAACCAATAATGATAGTTGTTATTTATCTAGAATAGATCACACTCAGAACACCATTAGACACTGTACCATTTCAATCTTCAACGATAGAAGAATTTAAATTCACACAAGTTCAAATACCATTCTATCAAATAGTATTCACAAAAAAGGTAGGAACTCCAGTATTTAAACCAGTGGTATTCAGTTTTTAAGCTGTCTACTTTATGAAATTCAATTTTTGGAGTAAGATTATGTCTGTAATAAATCAAATTAAGCCTCAAAGCTTAAAAACATATCAATCTGAATTTAATTGAGTACCACAAATTGTTTGAAATTATTAATATCCGTGGCAGTTTGGGGGTAATCTAGGTTTTATTCGAGTTGATACTTATCAACAAGTAGTTTTACCCTTGAAGGGAGTAATTTTCTACGTGTCGCTCGGTTTTAAAATGATAAACGTTTCTTTTGGGCTACAAATTACCTCAAATAAGACTAAGATGTTTACAAACTAGTTAATCACGGAGTATTAAACTATTTTGTATTGAGCAGTCTTTGGTATTATATAGATTCAATTAGTCAAATGGCAATAGGCCTGTAGTACTTCTATGGTTACTACCGGTCCCAAGTGCGGATAAAGGAGAAGAGTTGGGCATGGGGTCAACAGCCCCATCCAGTAGGAAAAAATATTGTCAAAAATCATTTAGACCATTCACACTGTATCTTGGGATTTGAAGAGTCTTCATTTAGAAGGATTATGAGGCCTTATGGTGAAAACCGAGATTCGTTGGAAGTTATGAGGCCGATGCCCTTTCTAACAACTAGAGCAACGATTAATATAGGTACATGGAATGTCCGTACAATGTGGGAGACTGAAAGGATCGGTTAGAAAGCTGAAGAAATGAGGAGACACAAAACTGTGGTGCTCGGAATAAGTGAAACCGATTGGATGCAGGCTGGACAAAAAACATGAGGTTCGGGTAACATGCTGTTGTACTCTGGTCATCAAGAAAGTGCTTCGCACACATAGGGAGTTGCACTAACGCTGTCCAAAGGAGCGCAAAAGGAACTTATAGGATGGGAATCTCATGGACCTAGGATCATCAAAGCATCCTTCAAAACAAAGGAGGGGGTCACAATGAATGTTTTCCAGTGCTATGCACCCACTAATGGAAGCAACGAAAACAATAAAGATCAGTTTCAAGGAAGGCTGCAATAGATCATAGCGAAGTGCTCAGAAAAGGACCTGATTATCCTGATGGACAGCCTAAATGCCAAAGTCGGAATGGGCAACACCGGGTATGAAGACATGGACTGAGAGCAAGGAATGAAAATGGGTGGAGTATGATGATTCGGAATTCGCAGATGACCTGGTCCTTCTATCCCATACACATCAACAAATGCAGGTGAAGAAACCCAGGGTGCCAGCAGCCTTTTCAACGAAAGGCCTCCAAATACACAAGGAGAAAATCAGGATCCTGAAATACAACAGTGAGCAACAACCGGTTCGCATTTGATGGAGAGGCTCCGAAAAAGGTGGGAACTTTTACGGGTATCGGCACTATCATTAATAAACAAGGGGGACCTAATGTATATATAAAGACAAGGATTCGCAAAGGAGGGGCACTATTCCTACAACTAGAGAATATATGGGAGTGAAAACAACTGTCGGCTGACCCCAAAGTCAGAATCTTCAATACAAAGGCCAAGTCAGTTCTATTTTACGGAGATGAAACTTGGAGAATCCCCACAACAATCATCAGAAAAGTACAGGCATTTACAAATAGTTGTCTGCACAGTATATTTAATACCCTTTGGTCGGATACCATGAGCTTCCAACTGAATAGGAAATCTGTAAAAGATGCTGGAAGTTGGTAGGACATTCAGGAAATCACCAAACTGCATCACGAGGAAAGCCCTAACATGGAATCATGAAGGCAAAAGGAAAAGAGGCAGACCGAAGAACACTGCGTCGGGGAATCGAGTCAGATATGGAAAGGATGAACATAGCTTGGAAACAACTAGAAAGGGGAGGTTGCGATAGTTGGTTGGAGGATCCTGGTTGGCGGTCTATGCTCCAAGGATGTGTGTAGGTAACCTGATCGCTAGTCCACATGAATTGACATAATCTACATAATATGTCTTCACTTGACCATTTTTCCTTTGGATATTCATGGATGGTTCGTGATACTACACCCGATCGCCAAAACCAAGGTAAGTGGAATGGGATTCGAATATGTGAACTAGTGGTTCAGAAGGCCGAACTTCTTAACCACTTCTAAGTAGCTACATTACAATAATAAATATTGAATATATGTAGTTAAACACAAAAAAGCGTTGGTTCTATAGAAAAGCCTTACCTGTGTCAATTGTTGGCATCGACCACATGATGGGACTGAATTCGAGCTTTTACCATCTATTAATTGTCTTCTATCAATATCCCTATCTTCACTATGAATTAACGGTTTAAGCTCACTATTAGTTAGTCTGACTCGTTCTAGCTCCAATAGAAAATAAGCGAATGGATTAAGAACAATCAGTTGGATTGGCGCAAATAAATAAATATAACTAGCCAAATCAGGGAAAAGAGCATAGACTAAAATTTAAAAGAGGGAAACAAAGAGATGGTTATTTAATGAAAATATGACAGTAGAATGTAATCGACCAGTAATGTGAATTGTTGATTCAGAACAGATTTGTATCAACACCCAGAAAGGCCGAAGGGAGTGCTAGGAAAGTAGTTAAGTGCATTTTTCACTTCATTTGTTATTGAAGTTTCATCACCCTTAATGAGCTGGTGGCTGGCAAAATCCTGGTACCAACACATAACACTTGCTTAGATTTTACTAAATCGTCTCACCTGTTGAGTAAGGAAGATATCTCTCTGTTTATTAAACAGTGAATATACTAGACATTATTCCCCTGTCCTACTTTAGGGCTGTGATATAGGACGTTTCTAGAGTAGAGGATATCCATAGCTATTCTTATTTCATCACAAAAATATTCAAATAATTGATGGCATATAGCAGAACAGTTAGGTAAGTAATACTGCAGAGATTAAACGCCGGGTCATAGGTAAATATTTCAAGTATGTTGAGGCTACGAAGTTATCCATTGACTGAGTAATCGAGACATAAGTCACAGGTGCACAACCACTAGTTACCACAATGCTCAGTGTTGGATGGAGCAGAAATAAGTTGAAATACAATTAGGGGACATCAAACCAAGGTGTAGTATCAGTCCGTTGAGTCACTCACTGCTGATATGAACCATATTTGACGGTGCAGATTATCCAGTCGAGGTTTACATGATAATCATGTGCGATGGCTGAAGACTATAAGTAGCATATCTCGAAATCGGTCTCAGTAAGTCACAACGTAGAACCTGTACTTATGTACATTGGTTCAAGTTGTTATACGCCATTAGCACAGAGATGAATTTGTCAGGCCAAACCTCAAAATAGTAGAGGTAGTAACAGTATCAGAGGTAATATGAAAGATTAGGTATGGAAGATACGACTGGAAAAGAAAATACAAATTAGTGAAATAAAAACAAGAAAAAGTTATGGGGAATTTAAAATTTTAGGATTTGAGGGGAGACGAAGAGTGAATGCGCCTGTGCTATTGCAAACGATTTTGAGCCATTTCATCTAAAGTCTCTAACCGTTGGTTACGACAATCACGAGGATCCCAACCAGGTGGTATGTGCCTAATAACATGGCTAAGTTCAATCACCAGTGACTTCATGGACTGATGCCATGTTTTGGTTTGGCCGCCCCTAGCCTTTTTCCGGTCTGTTCCTGCACCAGAAAACATCGCTTATCGAGGTAGGTAGTGGCTGAGCATAGGTCATAGATATCCAAATCGCCTATTGTGATGGCATAACAAAGGTATGTTGGTTAGGACACGTTTATTAAGGCTCAGCCATACCACATAGATTACGCGGAAAGAGTAAAGACCAAAAACATCGAGTAATCAACCTGAAGATGAAGTTGACTGCAATGTCATTTGAGAACAATAATGTGTTTTCAGCGGATAACCAGCGTCCTCAGAGACAACCTGCTTAAATACGAAAGGATAAGTTGAAAAAGTATTGTCAAACTAACAAAAAAAGAACATTCGCCTTCTTGCGCTATTGGTTTTTGGTTCTGATGGTGAAGTTTAGAAAGTAGGGAGCTAATATAGAGAACAGAAAAAGGTAACATGTGAACGACTTCTAATAGTTAACTTTTGGGTTTGGATTCCCATTTACAGGTCATCAATACCACAGAAATTCATTTTCAAATCCTCTAAAAAGAGATTTACTGTCAGGGTGTGAGCAAACAGGAAATATTGAATGCTCAAATGTGCACAAAAACCAGAACTTACACAATTGGCGTAGCTTATAACCCAATACGCGAATACAAATACGTTTGCTTATTAAAATGACTAATTTTTTTTAACTTAAAGCACTCGTTATTAGATACACTTGAAGTCTATTTTAAAATCAACAAGCGAGTATATAAAAACGAAAGTTATCATCATTTAAATATCCAAAAGCAAGTTAATTTTACTAATTAATGGAAAAGAGAGTATTATAAACAACTCACGTATAGGATAAGCTAATGCTACATCATTGGTCTGCGATACAAACATAGCAACAATAGCAGCTATGCCCAGATGAAAACGTCGACTGATTAAATACGTGAACGTAATTGCCATTATAAAACCGATCAATTTACTGATAGATATAGCCATGACGAAAGACCAACAGACACCAGAAAAATTAATTGTTACCATGGCCTAGAATAAATCAATAAAGTTTTCAGTCAGACAATGAAAAGATAATAGTGACTGTACACCAACTGCTGATTTATAAGTGAACAGTGGAAAAACAAGATTATTAATCGATCGATTACTGTTTTAGTTGTTCATAAGATAAAACATGATTAGTAGAGCAGAGCAATATGGTATATATCACAAAATGTGTGTGATCGGGTGTTTGAGGAGTGTTATTTATGTTCCCGACTTAGTTTAGTGAAATTTGTATGAGCGCTTTTGAATTGTTTGGATGTCCAAGCCGAAGTAAATGATTTCCTTAATTCCTTGGGTCTTTAACTCAAGGGTCTACCTCGCAAAGTAGAAGGAGTAAGTCGAAAGATCAATACCTATGGTTGTTAGTTATTTAAGTGGGTTTAGAAACTATTTGTTCCGTGCCTGAGAGCCTACACGACTTATAGGTAAGAAATCAGAGTTCGCTACCCCTACCACAAAGACTCTTGCTATTTCCCATCCCATTTTAATTGTCAGGCGTTTGTTTCGATATTTTGCTAATTATAGGCCCTTTCCTACTGAGAAGACAGAGACCACAAATGTCCCATAGGCGAATATGGATTCTTAATCGTATGAAGACATATCTAGACAGAGAACGAACTTTTTCTACTTTTATCTGTAACAGTTAGATACTATCAACATGGGGCCTAGAGTAAATGTAAGTCCAAGTTTCCATAATAGAAAAATACAAAACAGGATTGAAGTAATGTGGTAGCAATGACAGAAGGACTAAAACTCGTAAATAAAGTTTTAAAAAACATATGTATTTATTCGAACACATAAACATTGGTAAAATGAGGCACCAAATAGATATGCGCCACATAAATCACTAGATTTGTATGAGGGATGGGATACTGCCCGAGTGCCCGAACCAAAGAAGGTGGTTTTCTTAGGGAACCACACCCGGAGCCTTCAACCTGAAGGTCTAATCCAAAAGGCAATGGAACATCGTAAGAAGATGCAGTCCCATGGTAACTGGTGACCAACAATGAGTGCATACGCCATTTGTTTCCTTAGGATCCTGGAGTCCATGTGCACCATTGGTTTGTAATCAGGGTTTTCCAAATCCCCTAGGTGGATTCTCCGCATCCACCAACCCGGTTGAAGCGCCGGACATTCGCTTGTCGTCCTCTCAATTCCGTAAACAACATCCCTGTCACGAGAAGGCGAAGTAGTAACGTAAGTACGAGGGGATATTGAAATTCAAGATCAAAGAGATAAAAACAAAATGCATCTTGGCCATTGCAAACAACTCTAAGCTACTGAGATCAAGGTTTGAAGCCACCGGTGACAATTAATACGCGGATCTCAACCGGGTAATTTGTATCCATCTACATGGCTCGGACAAACAGTCAGCAACTTCATGGATTGATGCTACATTTTGACTTGATAACTCCTAGCTCTTTTACAGCCTACTTCTGCACTACCAAGCATCAGTCGTCGAGGTAGGTAGCTGTTAGGCAAATGTAATATAAGTCCCAACCACCTCATTCAATGAAGATTTAAAACTGTCGACCGATATCACGTTTCCTAAGTACTATATGCCTAACCCCTATATTGGACACCCGTTGGCATCACAAAACACAATAAATGATTCGAAGACACCTATTAAAAAATTTTGAGCCTGCGCCTATCTTCTAGCAGTGAAAATTATTAAAAAGGATAAAACAAAATGACAGAGACAGGGTGTTCTGGAAGGTGAATTGCAACCGGTTTTTCCCCTCAAGTATTTTCTACGTTACTTTCACAACTCTCCTGAATATAGATTCAACAACTGACCTTTCAAAACTGATTATTGTTTCCCTTTCTAAAAATAGGTTTCAACCGTATAATAATTTTAGATAAAACTCTATTATACTAAACTACATCAGAGCATAAATAAAACTGTACGGCTTGACAACTACATTTATAAAACGAGATATTTTTCACTAAAAATCTATCCCTTCATAATCAAAGAAGAAATCCGCCCCGGTTAAGTGAATACAAAAATTCATTAGCAGTGAAATAATTTCATGATGTTCTGACATATTTTGCTAAATTTATGTAAGTTATCACGAAACATTTGCATATAGAAACCATACATTAAAATTACACCTAGAAATATCAGAATAATGGTGACCCTGAATATTTGGCTTACAAGTATAATGCTAGTTGTAATCTTAGTTACGTTTGTGTATGCACTGAGGGAATGATTACGTCAGTGAACTGGTTTTTAAGTTTGTGAGCTTATAGTTTATAACTACTCACTTACGTTGATCAGCTGATTAAAGTTAGCTGGAACTAGAGTATAAAAGGATGCAAACAATTTCTATCCAGTAAGACAAATTTTGTGGTTGGATGAAATGACTACAATATATGGAACTGCTACAATGACAAAAAAGGAACACACCTCATTGAATTTCTAAGTTGACTAGCCTTTTCTGAGAGGTATGTACCAATATGGAAAAATGTGCGAAGTAATACCTCTAATCTGAAATAGTTTTCTGCTGATCATGTTGGTCATACTATATTCTCACTTTCGATTATTGCAATTTACCAATGTAATTAGGACAAGAATAAATATTGCACTTCTTATGACACTAATTTTATAGATTAGGACTAAGTCGTGACAGTTGTGTAGCGTAATAAAGTATACCTTTAGAAAATGAGGTATTTTATGAAATATGAGGAAGTGAATGCACAAATATTTAATTTTCAAATACTCAACTAGATGAGCATTAGGATGCACCAATCAATCAGTAGTGAGTCAACCAATAGAAAAGTCCTAGTGGCACTAAAAAATAATAACTGGCAAATCATGAGAAAACTTACACGAAAAAATACAATGGGCAAAGCGAATCTAGTGACATAGAGGTTAAGTCCCTTAGCTTGGGGTTCCGAAAAAATTTTCAGGAGGCCAGCGATATAACCCAAGAGAATTACACCAAAACACTGAGTCAGCACCGGAACCAACTCACTAAATACTTCATGATAGTTAACTGTCGAATTAGTAGCAGTAGGCAAAGATGATCTTATCGACGTAGGTTTGTTGTCCATTTCTCTGGAAAGTGAACTGAAATAAAAATTTAAGAAAAAATAAGTAGTTTGCTTGCCAGCTATCCTTATTTAAGTCGTTTTAGAACTAAGCGATAATATGATTTATAGTAGAACCAATCAGATTTAAGACAACAGGCTGTTGATTTCGGCGAGAAATCTATTTATTAATATTAGCTAAATAGCATTTCGGCAATATAGGTGGTGTCAGTTGGTGACGAAAAGTCCGAATCTAATTCCTAACCCTGACGTTCGACTGTATGTCCCAATCCAAATGGATAACGCTAATCATTCTTACGGTCACTTCGGTGTCCATCAAAGGTTGTCCATAAATTACAGTCGCACCCAGAAACGTCAAATAATTTTGACAAACCTTACTAATTGATATTATTAGGTGTCTATGAAATCTGTAAATTTCATGCCGGTATACCGGCACTCAACATCACTAACATGTTATATAAAATGGGCCCTTATATTTGCCATTTTTGGCGATGAGCTCACATAAAGATTTCTCGGCTGGTAACGAAAGATTTGTTCGTTTAACCTACCACAATAGACGTCGAATGCGTATTTAGCATGAAACGAGAAGATAAATAAGTTTATAATGATGTTCGGTACCAACAACACTTACTTATATTACACGAAAACCCTTCTCTTTCAGCTTTTGCAGAACACAACCTTTAAACGATGAAAATCTGACGTCAATTTCACCTTCTTCTAGTTCATCAAAGCCATAAAGTGAGTTGTAGCAGCTTCTGCTCATACAAAGACGAACACATTTAGTATGTTCGAGTGAAGAGCTATTGTGTTCTAGTGGGCAAGTATCACTACAGTTTGTGGCAACTTTCTGAAACAACTGTTCGTTTGTGGCTTTACGTTTATATTGATACACAGGAAATTTGAAGAGCGATCTCTCGGAAGACCCACAAACAAGGAAAACCAAATATATAGTGAGGATTATTGACATGCGCGGAAGGACGCGAAATTCACCTAAACAACTTTAATTTGAGTGATTAAAACACATGGTGACTGACAGTTTTTTGAATTTAAGACTCTACGAAAACGAACTGAACGTTATAAATATTATGGTTTTAAAGTAATGCGTTCATGAAAATGCCATTCAATTAGTGTTAATATTTTTGTGCTGGAAATGTGGAGTTCCCAAATACGACTTATGTGGAAGATAATAGACGTCAATCTAAGGCGAATGTGGGATTGGTTTTTAATAGATTTCCGTTTCATTACTTTATGAGTACACACTTTACGAATCATTATCATTGTAACTGATATATAACTGATTCATTTGAGTGCCTTTTTAATTCTGTCAAGGATGTCACAAAGTTTTTATCAAGAAACGGAACTTTACTCTCATGTTTTCACGGCACTGAGGGAAAAGCAGGAGTATTATTCAATATACTGAAGTCGGAGTTGCAGATATTCTAATTTAGTGCAAAAACGCATCACGACAACCAAACATCCAAGATTTTCAATAGTATTAGTGCATGGTGACGACTACCAACAACTGCCTGATATGAATACGTCAGTGTAACACAACCATACACATTAGATCGGTGCACATATATGATGAAAGTTAGATTTGGAAATGATAACTCTAGTATCAATTTTAACCTCATCTACAACGATGATCTAATGAATATACGGGGGAATGAGAGAGAATGTTGGTTGCTTCGCACTCGTTGATAAATCAAACTTTCATAAATCTTTACACAGAATCTTCATTCATGCACACCTAACGACTAGTTTACCAGATACTTGTTGTAAGCACGATTTTAGAGACATTTGAGAATACGTAAATGAATTTGATTAAACAGATGATGGGGGTAGTTTTTGTAGCGGCAATGAACCATCTTTGAAGTTTGACCAAGAAGGTGAACCTTCTGCATATTAGAAGAGACAATACGATATTGAAAATTTGTCAAACATCGTAAACATTATTAATGACTGACGGAATTACTGTATTCGGTGAAGGAGTTTTCAGTGAAATTTCTTTCTGGACTCACTTTTCACACAATCAAAACACTTGATTGATACAGCGCCATAGTAGTAAAGCCTATTACCACGGTAGGATTATCCTGGCTAGATATCGATCACTCAGTATGATTTAAATTAAATGAAGTTGTCAAATCTGAAGATCACACACGTATTCGGAGTTTGAAAACACTTATACGCCTAATCTATTTGCAATCGAAGTACAAACGCAGTCAAGTCAGAGGTCAGAAACAAAGAGTTTCAAATATACATTTGAAATGCTACCGATATGTCGAGGAGCGTTTGATCTAAGCTGACTAGCAGTTGCAAGGAATACGTAGCACGGAGAGCCTACTCGTGATCTAGTAAAGATACTTGACGGAGCACTATCAACTAGAGCGTGTCTAGTAAAAAATTCGAGGTCAGCAACAATGTCCAGGACTTGCAGAAATATTCATTTAGGGGATTTATTTACATCCAGGAATCACTCCTTTCAACTCGAGAGGATCTCTACCCGAATTTACATAGAATCAAGCGTTGATGCCGTGTCAAATTACTAAGATTATTGATAATTAACTATCAGATTACCTAGCACAGTGCTTAGCATTCGTTAAATGTAATCCGTTGAGTTTGTCTTGATGTGGTCCTTAGTTTGCATAAGATCTAAATCTCTCCGGATCATAGCACCTGATTCAATTTCGCAATGTTTTTAGAGAGGTGCACACAGAAATGTAGGCATTTTTAGATTCAGATCAAGCCGCCCTTTAGTGCGAGTATTCAACAAACTACTTTATAATCGCTTGTTCTCGATTTCAGTATGTTAAGAACAGAACTTAAGGCGTCCTGTGTTATTTCCTAGGGACAGTGGTCTTCCAGTTAACCCAGCATTATTTTGAACCCATTGGTAGATAGAGCTTCAATCACGTATTGAGGCAACAAACAACATTCACTGGTAATTCCATGAGAAGGTCGAAAGCGTAGTGCATTTGTGAGGGGGTCTATTCAACATGCAAGAATGTGTATAACAAATAGGAGTAGTCTGATGCAAATTCCGAAACTATAAACCGAGTGCTATTTTATGACGATTAGAAGTATTCCGACTATTATATCAAATAGGAAGTCTCAAAGTAGTGCAATTAGGTGTAAATGAAACTTCTGGTTAGCGTTTTTTAGCGATTTAGTTTTCTACGAGATGAGGTCGATAACCTCATGCTCAACCCTCCTCCTTTACCCGGGCTTGCGACCGGCAATAAATCTAAAAGAGATACAGGCGGAGTTTGTAAGTGGAACTAGGTGAGCAGAAATGAACATATTGTGTTCGAAGTCAGCGGGTAATCAAATACAAAGGAATCGTTAATTTGTACAAATACCACACCCGCCACAGCTTAAATAAGAATCCAAATGTATGTTATCAGTCGTTCTTCTCCTTAGGTTCATTTTGTGTCTTTCCGACTGTGTATTGGATGTAGACTCTGCATGATCTAGAATTTACTCATAAGTATTAAATTTAACATCGAAAGTTGAAACGGGCTCGCCTGAGTATTTGGAACTTATTCGGATGTCGTGACTGCCTAGCATATGAACCATAGATTTACTGATCTGTTTTAGCTGAATTTCTATAGATTGTGGAAAGGGAGTTATTTTACAAAGTTTTTCTTGTTCCAGCAATTTCACCATTGTTTCGTTGAGTTTGGTATAGTGGTTTTGCACTGATGGGGTTTCTTCGCTCTCCTTTCCGGGTCTTTTAACTTCGCAGCAGTAGTAGAACTGACTATTATTTTCAATGTTTTGACATTTCTTGCTCGTGTATCATAACGAGGGGTTTCGGAATCGTGAGTAACTTTTCGCATTTCTATTCCGTCATCAAGCACTTCATTTAGAACCTTCTTCGGTGACCAATAATAAAAACCGTATCTGAAGCACTATTAACTTTTCTGGACCGTGTACAGATTGTCCACAGTCAGTGACGAGGAATTTAAGAGTTCGTATTGAAAATTTATTGTTTCTAACTAACGAATTACGGCACCCAAAAATAGGAAGTTTATGATTTGTAATACTCAAAATAAAACTTTGGTAGGCATAATTAAAGCATCGAAATTTAATTAATTCAACTTCCTGATTGAAATGATGAACTTGATACTGCCAATTTCAACATTAAAATCGTGAGGTGCATCACTGAACAGATATGATCATTTTTGCGTGTCAAGTGAAATACTAGAAGTAGTAAATAAGGATAGCATATGGTTACTAGAATCGCTAAATTAATAAGATTCGATTTGTAAAGCCTTGTATTATTTGCGGCGAAATGTACAGTAGTTTGACAAACTGACTGGATGTCCCCAATTTTACGACATGTAAAGCATTTAGCATTAAGAAGTACACATGAATCAAGTGAGTGGAATTCACCACAGGACAAAAATTTACCAAACATGTGCTCACCTCTGTGACTTGCTTTGAAGTTCCTTAATAAAGTGCCATCCTTATGACCTTGAAAACTCACTGGATTAGGAAACTAAGCAATCTAGTGAAATTATTGACGCCCTGGAAGTCAGTTTCGTGTACTGTCTTCCGATTATTACACGTAGTTCTAACATCTGGGGAAGAACACTTCAGCATTCGCATGACCAGTCTTTACAGTGTAGCGTGGCATCCAGTCACGGTTGTCTATGATCACCACTACAGGAAAGCTGCGTACCACAACAGGCGAAACCTCTGAGTAAACCAGAAATCAGAAGGCGATTGAAGGTTGTAGCAAGATATATTTGTTGGCGATCTCGTGGTATCGAAATAATACAGAGATCTTGCCAAAGGAGTACAGGTGAAACTACTGAGCGAAAATTAGTTCGTGCAAGGTCACGAGCAACGGAAGAATGTGTCTTTAGTACAGTTAAACAAACAAGTACAGTAAAACAATCCCTGGTACAATTGGTAAAATAATATTTGTTTCCATCATACCAATCGCGTTCTTTCGATAAAAGTAGGTCACTACAACAGATTAGGTATGTTAATAACTGCACTCAATCGATCTCGTGGCTGCACACGATGCTCATTGCTAAATTGCATTTGGCAGCTTATTTCTGCGATTCAAGGAAAATTCTTTAAGCTTTTAGTTATTTCGACGGATCATTCTATGAAACTTTGCTCCATTACAGCATTCAAAACCAGTACATTTTACGTTATTTATTATTAATTCTTTGAGAGTTGCATAGGTTGGTGAAATTTACTTATCTGGAAATGTTAAAGTTTTTAGTGATGAATGTTGGGAAATGAACCAAAATTTTATCATCCTTGACGTCTTTTCTGGTAATATTCAAGATCTCGAACCTATCCATGTATTCTTTGGAAGCTTCAGATTTTGGATGCATATCAAACTGTCCAAGATTCAACTCCATCGTGACGCCAATACGACGATTAAAAGTATTCGAAATACCGTACTAAGAATTCCCGAAATAGTGAAACTTAAGGTAGGTAGATTTAGTAGAGCGTGAATGAACGTATAACATCCGGAATTCGAAATCAGCGGGCAATCATGTACAAAGGGATCATTAGTTCGTACAAATACCACATGTATGCCAATAATCCTAGGCAGAAAAATAACGCACAAAGCGAAGCTGAGTATTGAGTGACAAAACGGTAACAACATGAAGATGCCACAGGTATTCGGAGTTTGACAACGCTTTAACCAGTAACGCCTTCTAATATGAAGCGCACCCACCAAGTGAAATCAAAAGACAGAAGCGAGGAAGTTCGAAGATATATTTGATATGCTGTCAATATATCGAGAATCGTCTGATCTAATCTGGCTAGCGATTGCAGTAAATTTTGAGCACGGCGTTCCCACTCGTGATCTGGGGCGGATGCATGACCGAGCGCCTTCAGCTAGGTGAGTCCATTAAAACTAATGTGGTCAGCACCCAATGTCGAAAACTTACAGAGCAATTTTTTGGGGGATTTATTCACCGCTACAAACATATATGTAATACATTATGCTAAAAATCCCTTCTGAAATAACTACCTCAATTATTCCCTTGCGATATTTTGGATCGACGGCGTGAAAAGAAATACAAATCTAATATTAT